AAATGCGGCAACTTAAGCTAGATTCCTGGTCATGCTGAGTGATGGATGTACCGATATTATGTCAGCCACGGTAACCTAATGACTGCATGAAAAAAATCCCATCGTATTAAGTCTTGTTTTCCTTTAATCCTGATAATGATATTTCTAAGAGGCATAAGTTTTTTTTATCCGATTGATGTGCATCAATCCACATCTGGGCGAACTAAGCGAAAATGGAACACAAAGTCATTGCCTTTTTTTTGTGACACCAAATTCATTAGTGACCCCTGAACCATCCAGACACACAACAATGAGGTGGCCGGGTAACTCGGGAGGCTCAGAGTATTGGGCCATCACCGCCGAGATCCTGGGTTTTGATTCTGTGCAGCTGGCCGCGGATACATTTGTGTTCTCAAGTGCAGCGAGTGGACGGTCAGTCTCGGCCCAGTCATCCGCAATGCCTGAACAAAACCATAATGTTAAAGTTGGGTTTTCACTTTAATGTAGCAAATTTCAGCTCTAATAATCAAACATTTCGGTTTGACTGTCATGTGACAACTCGATAGCCAGGTGCATGTTAAAGCGCAGCCACTCTTCACGGTGGATAAAGGGAAACTGAATGGATCTAACAGCAGACCTTTGATATGAGCTTCCAGATGCAGTTCTCTAACAAGGGATGATGCACTGCTCCAAAAATACATTTCTTCATCTGATTGTATGACAACAGAGTACAACTGCAAGATAATTCGAGAAAAAAAGATGCAAAAATCATCAGTGACCAAGGTCTGAGCAGAGACTCTCAAACTCGCGAGCACAATAAATATGTACAATCGTGAGAAGTGATCCCTGGCTCAAAACAAGAACACCCAAGACGACGCTTGGTCTGAAAACATGAATAGTATCCCTCTAAATCACACGGCCACCTCGTAAGCAAAAGAAAAACACAGTTGCACCTGACAGCAGAAGGACTGTGCTTATTTTGCGAACCGACGTCAATTTATTATCGCAACGAGGGCTCTGTTGCATTGTGCCCTATCAAAGAGAGGACACAAATAAAAATATCAGCTGCTGAATGCGGGCATGCATCCACTACAGGCAGGCCTGGGGACAGGGGTTGAGTGTTGAACAATCTGCAATGACAGGTGGTCCTCAATTCAAACAAATAGCTTATACTTGTAGGAGACGGCTAAGTGGCGCAGGGCCCAAATTCCATTTCCGAGCACCTCAAAGCAAAATGTACCCGGGTTTGATTCCTGACTTGGGCGGCTTTCTGTGAGGCGTTGTGCATGTTTTCCCTGTTCTGCATGGGTTTATTCAAGGTTCTAAAATTTACTCCCCTAGCTAAAAAAATAATTGGCCTAATATCCTAATACAGGATCCTCCTGAAAAAGGAATATTTGGACTCAGTAGATAATAATAACTATTATTCGTTTTCCTAGGTTCGAATCCATCTAGCCACCTGTGATTAAACTGGGTTTCCAATAGTATTGATATGATGGTATAATTATACCATATCTCCATATATATAAAAGACAAAGTGGTGAATATGTGTCTGTTCAAAATGTTTAGTGTACTTCCCGACATGCAACAAACTTAAAATTTGCCATGTGGGTACTTTCCAGACTGTACACCATGCAAAAATTATAAAAATACACTTTTGTATTTTTTTTTGGGGGGGGGGGGGGGAGCTCAATAAAGCATATTTCTTTTGCACGGCAAGTGAGCTGTGACGTCAAATATGTCATGTGACCCGTGATCCGCGCATGTGGAAGCGTAACGCATTGTAGTGTAGTGGTTCGCACGCTGCGCTATGAATTCGGCGACCCGAGTTCGATTCCCGCTCTTATTTGAACCGGTCCTGGGCCTCCTGGGCCTCCCCTAGGTCTCCCCTGTGGTGTGTGAACATCGCCACTGGGGAGACAAAGGCGGCCGGGCGTGGTGAATCCAAGTCCCGGGCGAAGCCGGGTAGTAAAGCTAGTTATATTATAAATGGATTGGGGAAAACATGATAGAGATGGAGAAAATATAACCCATCTCAGATTTTCTGATTCCATGGTCATTATACAACCAATCCTCCTCTACTACACAGGCCGATCTTGACACCACTGGTACCTGGCATGGGCAAGTTTAGGCCCTTCCATCCACTCAAACAGAAGCTGCTTGGGCATGCGGTGATCCGAGCATGCAGGCTACATGACACAGCTAACACAGCCTCGCCTGCTGGAGGAGCTCACCGATAATCGGACTGTGACCACATCTGGACACTTTCCCATACAAATACATACACATATGAAAATACTTACACGTGAAAATATACACACATACGTTCAAGTACATACACAGATACCGTATGTACAAATACAAAGATTCCCCATATAGTCTTAACGGACTGTTGGGGCAAGTGCTGTTTGCGAGCACCTATGTTAGCGAGCAGCACCTATGAAGGCCAGCATGGTACACGAGGGGGTGGGTGGCCAGTACCACACCCGACTGCCTTTGTCTCTCGAGTGCCGATGTTTACACACCGCACCAGGTAATCATTTGAGGCCGAGTCGACCTAGGGGAGGCCCAGGACGAGTTCACATGGTCGTCGCCAGTGTGGGCCTTGAGCGGTAATCGAACCCAGGTCGCTGGGTTCGTAGCGCAGCGGCGCTAACCGCTGCACCACCGCTCCCCGCATTTACAAACAAATGCACAAGCGCTCACAAATCACACGCACGACTCATGGAACGCCCTGCGCACCTGGGGTGGTGACCCCAGCGAGCGAGTCGGGCGAGTCGGGCGAGCCGAGGCCCAGGCCACACAGCTGCTCCTCCCCGGGGTTCCAGCTGTCGAAGGCGACGTCTGGGGCGGGCGGCGACGCGGCGGGTTCCTCCCCGGCGGCGGCGGTGCCGCCATCAGCGGCGGCGGCGGCGGCGGCGCACTGCGTCCGCGCGAGACGATCCTCGTCGTCCTCCTGCAGCGGCACCGCGCCGTCCGTCGTCGACGTTTCATTCAAAAGAGCTACGCCAGGGTGACGAGGAAGGGTCGCGACGACGTCACCGCCCACCCCCCCCCCCCCCCCCCGCCGACCCTTCCACCGTCTCCAGTGGTGCACGCAGCTTACAGAGGAGAGGCTTTTTCTATCTTTTCCGTCGTGTTATTCAATTAGTTGATAAGCGGAAAAGTAATCAATTGCTTAAATCAGGGGTGGGGAACGTCCGGCCCGCGGGCCGTATGAAGCCCGCAAAACCATTTGGTCTCTGGCTCTGCCAAGGCAACCGCAGGCGGGACTCGAAATTCAATAAATCTAGGAGCAAACCTGGAAAAGCAGTTGCGAGTAGCAGCAACATCAATACCAGCTAACATCATCACACACCTCGCCAAAGAGAAGCAGTTCCAGCCCATCGCATTAGGGGTGAGTTAATTAAATGTTTGACCAAACATAACAGGCTAATCTTTAAGTTGATAATTTTGTATGGCCTGCGAATGATGTTATAAATATCCAAATGGCCCTTGGTAGAAAAAAGGTTCCCCACCCCTGACTTAAATGATCGGATAGCCCAGCTCCAGTTTAATATATGTATGTTGAACTTCTTTCACAACGTATGTAGCCAACCATGCTAATTGGATGCAGTGCCTATTTACGTCAGCATCAGAACAATCTAATTATGTTTAGAACTGGGTCAGGTATACAAGCGTTGAACGCCGCCAATTATCATCACCGTCAATGTAACAATTCTCACAGCCATGTCAAGACATTAACACCCCACGATTCATTCAACTTCAATTCAGTGGGTCGGTATCACCAGAAATCAAAGAGGTTCAACTTTCGCTCACCTGGGTGTGAAAGCTTGGAGCCGCGAGCCTGCTCAGTAGCCGCTCTCTGAGGCTCAGCTCCATGCGGGCAAAGCACTCCGACTGCCAAGGGGAGGCTGCCGAACTGGCGGGCAGCGTCGCGCCGTCACGCTGGGGCGTCCGCTGCGGCAGCTCGTCCGGCGTGGCGGGGGAACGACCCGACAGTTCTCCGCCCGAGTCGCCCGCCGCGGACGCGGACACGCGCGCACGCCCCGTGCCGAGGTCGCGCGAGCCCGGACGCGGGACGTCCCCAAGCGAGCAACGCTCCGGAGAGCCCGGCCCGAGGCTGATGACGCGGTGGTCTCGGACCGGCGCGGGCAGTGTGGGCGGAAGGAATTCGCCCGTGGGGCTCCTCTCAAGGGAGTCGTCCAACACGATGACGGCCGACTCGAGCGCATCATCGGCGTCTGGGCTCGGGCAGGGAGCGGCGCCCGCCCCCTCATCTCGACGGCGGGCGCCCCCCGAGTCTCTCGCCGAGCTCCCCCCGCTGAACAACGAGGCACAGCTGTTGCCCTCGCGCGGGGAAAGCGTCAGATCGATGAGCGCGTGGCTGCGCCCGTGGTCGGGGCCGGGGGAGGACGCCCCGCGAGCGCCGGGGAGGAGGCACGACTGCAACGTCTGAATGCCGCAGGACCTGGAAGCCGCTCCGGGAGTACCAGGGATCAGCCAGGAGACCTCGCCGCTGCCAATCTCGCTGTCGGTGGACAGCCGCAAGTTCACCGACGTCTCCGACACGGAAGCGCCGATGGAGGATGTTGCGTGAAATTTTGACGACGGCTCCAGGGTGGCGGCGCCGCCTCCGTCCGCTCGAGTACGAACCGGCCCGTCCTCGCCGCCGGCGCACAGCAGAGCATCAAACTCGCTCGCGAGATGGCGCCGTTGCTTGCGCAGAGCCCTGGAAATGGACCGGCCGGCGCGCCCTGGGGACGGGTGGTTGGTTGTTGCGTGGGGCGAGCTCGTCGGCACAGCGTCGCTTGCGGACGGCGCCGTGAGTAGAGCGGGGGAACCTGGTGAAAGCGCTTTCAAGCACGGAGGCGTTACCGGATGTGGAACGGCTACTCCGGGCGACTGCCTCACGGGCGACAGATGTTGCGGCGAAGGCGGTACCGAGGCGGGCGATGGATGGCGAGCGACGGGCGAGCGATCAAAGTGAGAGGGCTCAGCCTCGCCGAGCGAACATTGCAGATGGGGGCCGCCGCCGAGCGTCGGCCGCTGCCGACCCTCCGAGCGTTTTTTCATTCTGAACGGACTTGACGCGGCGGGGCCGAACCGGTAGGGGGAGCGCGACGAGGGGTCGTCGCAACCCTCAGCCGAGCGTCCCGGGGCGAGGCCGCGTAGAGGCCCGCTCGCAAACATCGGTCGCTCGCGGCAGAGGCCTGTGAGCGTACGGCGTCACCGGCGACGGCTCCACGTACCCGCCGCTCGCGTCTTCTTCCGTAAACATCCGCTCGTACGAGTCGTCGGGGCCCGACGAGGCCGACGCGACCGCCGCCACGGCCACCGTCCCCGCCTCGCTTGAGCTGCCGGCGGAGGTGTCGTCGGCGCGGGGCGACCGAGCGGCGCTCGCGTCCGACACTCTATCCTTGACGTACGCCGCAGCCGCCGTCTCCTCCTCCTCCTCCTCCTCGCTGTCGAGACCGCTCGCGCCGTCGCTGTTGGAGCCGAGCCGTTCGCTCGCCGCGTCGGCCGAGCCGCGGCGGCGGCCGCGCTCACGCCGCTGCGTGGCCACGAACTCGTACACCTCGTCCAGGTCGCTGTCGCCGATACCGTCGTCGTTGTCGTCGCCGCCGCCGCCGCCGTCGCCGTCGTCGCCGTTATCGTGCCTGCGCGCCTTAACGGCCTCCCCGTCCCTTCCGCCGTCCTCCTCCTCCTCCTCGTGCTCCCAGAGCGAGCGCAGCAGCTCCCGTATGGCCGCGTCGCCCTCCCGCGCCGCCCCCGAGTACGACGGCCGAGGCGACGCGCCGCCTCCGCTGACGGGCGGCGATGCGCCGCCTCCGCTGACGGGCGGCGACGCGCTAAGCAGGTCGCTCAGCTCGTACCTGCAGCTCGGCACGCGCAACGCAACGAGCCCCGCATGAAGCTTCGTGCACCGTGTGGGGGCAAGTGGCGTAATAATTATTATTGTTATTTACTACTACTACTACTACAGGAACACCTCTCTGGGATCCGGGTTAAGCCAGAAAGGCTACCATGATAAACACATTGTTATTTAAAAAACAAAAACATACGTCTTAAAATACACTGATATTAAGTGTCGATTAAATGTATTGGCGGTTAATTACGCGCAAGTATAATTTAACAGCGGGATCAAAAGCGGGGGCCAAAGGGAGCTTGCGGCAGCCGATGGGTCCAGCAGGAACCAATGGGGAGCTGGTAGGAGCCAGCATGGGTCAACAGGAGCCAGTAGGACCCAGAAGAAACCAATGGAAGCCGATGCGAGCCGATGAGAGCCAGCAAGAGGCAACAGCAACCAATGCGATCTGGTGGGAACCAATGGGAGCCATTGGGAGCCGGCAGAAACCAATGGGGGGGGCCATCGCGATCCAATGGGAGGCAACGCAAGCCGACGGGAGCCAACAGCGGGATCTGACGCGAACCAACGGGCGCCCTCGGCGTGTCGTTCCCGCGGGAGAATACCTGTTGGCGAGCGAGCGCGTCTCTGCCAGCGCGCTGGGCGCCACGTGCAGGCTCCCCGTGTACACGAAGTGCAGCAGGGCGAGCACGGCGTCCAGCGAGGCGTCGTGCACGATCACACGCCGGCCCTGGGCCTCCCCGCGCTCACAAACGGCGTCGAAGCCCTCCGTGAACACCTGCACACCGCCCCCCCCCCCCCCCCCCCCCCAACAAAAAAGAGCCTCGTGACCCACCGCTGTGTGCCGGCATGCCGACAGATGATCCAAGCGATCGCGTGAAAATCACACACGTTAACAAAGTCAAATATCCCCCCCCCACCACCACCGCCCATAAATACTTTAGACTATAGTGCTGTTAGCGAGAACCTATGGAGGCCGGAACGGCACACGAGGGGGTGGGTGGCCAGCACCACACCCGACCGCCTTTGTCTCCCCAGTGGCGATGTTTACACACCGCACCAGGTACTCATTTGAGGCTGAGTCGACCTAAGGGAGGACCGGTTCAAATAATCGTCACTGGTGTTGGCCGTGAGCAGAAATTGAACTCGAGTCGCCGAGTTCATAGCTACTGCCCCCCACATGAGCACACACACAGGTACACACACACGCACCCACTCCCCACATGAGACACACACAGGTACACACACACACCCACTCCCCACATGAGCACACACACAGGTACACACACACACGCACCCACTCCCCACATGTTCACACACACAGGTACACACACACGCACCCACTCCCCACATGAGCACACACACAGGTACACACACACACGCACCCACTCCCCACATGTTCACACACACAGGTACACACACACACACACGCACCCACTCCCCACATGAGTACACACACAGGTACACACACACACGCACCCACTCCCCACATGTTCACACACACAGGTACACACACACACACACACGCACCCACTCCCCACATGAGTACACAAAGACAAAGATCCCCCATATAGCCTGTAACAGACTGTAGGGGCAAGTGCTGTTAGCAAGCACCTATGAAGGCCGGTACGGTACACGAGGGGGTGGGTGGCCAGCACCACGCCCGACCGCCTTTGTCTCCCTAGTGGCGATGTTTACACACCGCACCAGGTACTCATTTGAGGCTGAGTCGACCTAGGGGAGGCCCGAGACCGGTTCAGATAATCGTCACTGGTGTTGGCCGTGAGCGGGAATCGAACCCGGGTCGCCGGGTTCATAGCGCAGCGCGCTAACCGCTACACTATCACACACACAGGTACACACACACACACGCACCCACTCCCCACATGAGCACACACACAGGTACACACACACACGCACCCACTCCCCACATGAGCACACACACAGGTACACACACACACACCCACTCCCCACATGAGCACACACACAGGTACACACACACACGCACCCACTCCCCACATGAGTACACACACAGGTACACACACACCCACTCCCCACATGAGCACACACACAGGTACACACACACACACCCACTCCCCACATGAGCACACACACACACACCCACTCCCCACATGAGCACACACACAGGTATACACACACACACACACCCACTCCCCACATGAGCACACACACGCGCACCCACTCCCCGCATGAGCTGAACACGCACGCACACGCACCTGCTGCATTAGCGCAGGGCAACGAGCGTAGAGCATGAACATGTGTGCGTATGCCAGCTCCCCCGTGTCCACCTGCAGCTGCACGTCGCTCATGTGGGGGTTGTTCACCATCTCCGCCAGATCAGCCACCAGCCTGGCGGCCTGCCACACACACCAGCACAGACATCACACGCACGAAACACACGTCACTCGTTCATGGATATCGATCGCCACTCGAGCCACATTTCAAATGACACTGTGGCATTCGTTACACGATCCTACGGCGGATAAATGCTTTCGTTTTCCCACAAAGTAGTGCAGTCTCCCCAGAAGGTACTTAATTTCCTCCTCTCGTAATCTCTTAGCTTTTTGAGTCGATGGGGGGGGGGGGGGGGGGGGAGGGGGGGGGGGGGGGGGGGGGAGGGGGGGGGGCATGACAATGATCTTTACCAATATCTCCTTGGTTGCGGGAGCCAGCAAAAATGGGAGTCAGTGTGAGCCAGTGACAGTGGGAGCTAATGGGAGCCAGTGGGAGCGAGAGAGATCCAGTGGGAGCTAGTCAAAGCCAGTAAAGACTAGTGAGCGCTAGTGGGCGCCAGTGGAAGCCAGTGAGTCAGTGGGAGCCAGTGAGAGCCACCGGTGGTCGATTTGTTGGAGATGGTTCGAGTACTTTCCCAAACGTCGGTTTGAGTTTTATGTTTTTGAACTAAAACTTGTCCGAACAGGGAGAAAAGAGGAAAAGTGTTGAACTCGCGGGGTCCGCGGCTCGATGTGTCATCATGCGCGGCGGCGTCCCCGGGGGAGCCCATTCGGATTGGACACCAGGTGTTGTATTTTGCCGTCATCTTTCTGAGGACACTTGAAGTCCACAGGAGGGAACAGACCCACTCCCGGTCCACTTCAACGCGCAAGCTCCCCCCCCCCCCCCGGGCTCTTGCGAGCGCCGCCGTTTCATTGTAGCGCACGATTAAAGTCAGGGCGACACGCCGAGGTCCACAGAATGCATAAATGAATGAGCAGACGGCACATATTGTTTAGTATTGACCCCTCGGGGGAAAAGCCGTATTAGCTGGCACGACGTCACGGCGTGACCCGACCGACACACTCTTGGCCGTTTGGACCGTAAGTGGGGGCCCACAAGAGGTAGTAAAAGCTAGTAAGTTGATGACTTGCTTGTGTGTGTAATTCGAGTTCTAGCCGCTCGTGTGCTGCAGTTTTCTCTAGGGCCATGGTTTTTGATTCTACCAGGTAAAAAAAAAAGTGGTCAAACGTTCCAAAACTCTCCTTTACACTACTTCACATGTATTCAATATATTTTACATGATTAAGTTAATATTTAAGCGTAATTATTTGAATGACCGACAATTCAAAGTGGAGTATTACATTTTTAGGGAAACGTCACCACTCAATGTAATTTCCATCATGAACAAAATTAATTACACTTTTACAAAATATATATCTACCAATATTATTTTGTCGGGAAAATACAGAGCAGCATGATGATGTAAATAACCTGACCAACATCAATTAATAACGTTGTACATTTTGCCTTTTTGGGATTATATAATTTATGCAAAAATCGGTCGAGGGCAATTCTGCCCCTTACTCCAATTGGAAGGTGGAAAACCACCAAGTGACCGCGTATCAGACACCAAGCCCTGGAGACGGGATGGAAGCCATGTTTTAGGCGGTGACACGGGCCATCGGCAGCGCGCTCACCGCTTTGCGGTGGAGGTGCACGGTTAGAATCTGGCGGGCTACCCTGGTTATCCCTGCCATTTGTATTAGCCATACAAACACAGGTAGTCCCCGACTTACGATGGTCCGACTTACGATATTTCGATCTTACGATGGCGATTAGCGATATGACAAAATTGTTAAATATTTTTAATTTCGCGCGGCAGGCAAATGCAGCAGCGTACTACAATGTACGATACTGTACTTTATCATCGCCATCCTCCTCTTCCGACAACTAAGTTAATGTAGCCATCAACAACCTAACATCGTTCAAGTATGCAGACGACGGACAGAATCTTGTTGAGCACAGTAGAATATGATACGTTACGATACGTTCAATGCATGTATGGTACATAGCTTTAGCGATTTCATTTTAGGGTTAACACGATACGATACATACGTCCAATGCATGTGAAAAGTTTTTATAGCAGATAGGATTGTTTCCTGAAAAAACTTTCTATGAAATTGCAGTTCATATCGGTAGGCTAAGAATTTACCTTGTTTTTTGACTTACAATTTTACTGTGCAATACAGTATTGTAATTAATAAATACATACAGTATATAGTTTATACAGTACAGTACTGTAAATTGCTCTGTTTTGCTAAATTATCACCATTCTTTAAGACTCCTGGGTAGGGCTAGGCTATTTTCGACTCACGATATTTTTGACTTACGATGGGGTCGTCGTAACGCATCTCCATCGTAAGTCTGGGACTACCTGTATCATAAGTCGGGGACTACCTGTATCGTAAGTCTGGGACTACCTGTATCGTAAGTCTGGGACTACCTGTATCGTAAGTCGGGGACTACCTGTATCGTAAGTCTGGGACTACCTGTATCGTAAGTCTGGGACTACCTGTATCGTAAGTCTGGGACTACCTGTATCGTAAGTCTGGGACTACCTGTATCGTAAGTCTGGGACTACCTGTATCGTAAGTCTGGGACTACCTGTATCGTAAGTCTGGGACTACCTGTATCGTAAGTCTGGGACTACCTGTATCGTAAGTCTGGGACTACCTGTATCGTAAGTCTGGGACTACCTGTATTGGAAGTCTGGGACTACCTGTATCGTAAGTCTGGGACTACCTGTATCGTAAGTCTGGGACTACCTGTATCGGAAGTCTGGGACTACCTGTATCGTAAGTCTGGGACTACCTGTATCGTAAGTCTGGGACTACCTGTATCGTAAGTCTGGGACTACCTGTATCGTAAGTCTGGGACTACCTGTATCGTAAGTCTGGGACTACCTGTATCGGAAGTCTGGGACTACCTGTATCGTAAGTCTGGGACTACCTGTATCGTAAGTCTGGGACTACCTGTATCGGAAGTCTGGGACTACCTGTATCGTAAGTCTGGGACTACCTGTATCGTAAGTCTGGGACTACCTGTATCGGAAGTCTGGGACTACCTGTATCGTAAGTCGGGGACTACCTGTATCGGAAGTCTGGGACTACCTGTATCGTAAGTCTGGGACTACCTGTATCGTAAGTCTGGGACTACCTGTATCGTAAGTCTGGGACTACCTGTATCGTAAGTCGGGGACTACCTGTATTGTAAGTCTGGGACTACCTGTATCGTAAGTCTGGGACTACCTGTATCGTAAGTCTGGGACTACCTGTATCGTAAGTCTGGGACTACCTGTATCGTAAGTCGAGGACTACCCGTATCGTAAGTCTGGAACTACCCGTATCGTAAGTCTGGGACTACCTGTATCGTAAGTCTGGGACTACCTGTATCGTAAGTCTGGGACTACCTGTATCGTAAGTCTGGGACTACCTGAACACACTCGTCTCCTTTGCAGCGGACGTTAAAAGGTCCCCCGTGCCGTCGTTCCAAGCGAGTATAACAACTGAGTGCCCTGATCGTGGTCCAAATTAGCTAAATTTGAAAAATTATGCACAAATTAGTCAATCGAGATTACACAGAGTGTACAGTCTCCCTGGTGGAAAACTTGCTCACCCCGCCTATACTGGACATCTGTGAAAAAAAGCTACACAGGCTCATTGGATTCCTCCTGCAATCGAAATAAAGCTTCCGATTCTGATATCAATCTGTGAAACACAGCGCCTCCGTGATAACCCTGCACGACTGAAACGGTGGGAAAACCAAATGTAGAAAATTATGTTTCATTATTATCTCAATTAAAAGATGCAGCAACGTCATGCCACAATGACCAAAGAGGCCAAAGGACTGGAAAACAAGACATTTAGCACCATCTGGGGAGAGAGAGCACCACCACTCAATTGTAACAAGAAGGCGGTTTTGTGTTACGACCCATCGACACTATGGAATGCCATCGTAACATTGCATTAGACTCTCGTAGAGGAGGAGGAAGATCGCTCCCGACTCCCAATTCAATTCTCACGATTTGCGATCACGCGACCCAACATAAGCAAAATAAAAACAACAATTCTAACGGAAACAATCCGACGCTTGGATTGCGAGCTTAGGAATAGTAACCGATTAATCAATGCATCCATTCAACACCAGCAACCTCTGGACCGGTTTCAACAATCGGTGTCTCATCAGCAGATTCAGGTTTGCTTGCATGGATTCTGGTCAAAGCATGGTTAATGAGGAGCGCTTGCAAAGTCTGTGGGATGGCATAGAAATGGACGTTTTGATCAGCCCCCGTATATGCAAAGGCAGCGCAAGTGAGTGTTACGTGCACGAGGCTCTGGGTGTGTACGGACCGACAGGCTGGGTTCTGCAGAGCTGTGCTGGGCTGGGCCTGCACCGTGGAGCTCTGACGGACACGGTGAGACACAGGGCTCCGTCTCGGGCAGGAAACCACTCATCTCCTCTATGGCTCCTGTGACACAATCAGCAAATGATATCATCACCACCACCATCATCATCATCATATTCATCAGCATCATTATTATTAATCGCCAACAAAGACAAAGATCCCTCATGTTGCCTCGCCATTCCCATGCCGTAAGGACGCTGTATACTTCCCTTACACACACTGACCTGTACATGAAGGCAGAGGCGGCTCGCCCAAGTCCTGCATGAACTGAGTGAGGGGCAGCCCCTCCCTGGCCAACTCCACCAGCGCCAGCAGCGTTTGGCTGCCCGACACCTCCTGCTGCCACTCTCCCGAGCGACCCAATTCGGAGGCCGACGAGCCGCCGCCACCACCAGTGCCACCAATGCCAGAGCCACCTCCTCCACGACTAACGTCGCCAGCGCAGCCACCCACACTCCCTTGGGCCGATCCCGGCTGGGAGTTTCTTAGTGAGGAATCACCCAAGGTGGCGGTGGCAGCCTGCGGTGTTTGCCGAAGGGAGACTCGGTCTCCGACCGGGTTCGCTGGCGCATCAGAGGCAGTGATGGTCTCGGAGAAAGACAGCTGTTTCTGAAATGGATTTCAGACATACATGCACGGACGTAGCTGTGCAACGGATACATACGAAAGCAAAGGTCTACCGTTTATCCTACAGTGGCTTTTTGAGTAAAAGTTGTTAGCCATGGACTATTAAGGGCAGCGCCACACACTCTGTGATAGGTGCTTATGTAAACACACGGCGCCAGGTAATAATATTCCACGAACACAAACAAATATTCACGTGTATCATGGACAAGAACTGAACCTAGTTTTCTCGAGTAGAAGTGCACACACTGACCGCCACACCATGAATCGCACATAAACAGTGGGGATGTAAATATTCACCAATTCCTTGATGAGAATCAACTTGCCCATTCCATGATACCATATTATCTGGTACACACCTAAACACATGCAAAAATGCACGCACACACAAACACACACCCGCTCGCAAGGTACAAACCCACACAATTACCGCCGATCGCCAAGTGGCAGTGACATCACCACGGCACTTGTGCTAAGCTAAGTGCACCTACAGGCCACATGAAGTGTCGAGGGCTCGCTGATGGGAGGTTACGGAACAGACCCAGATACAAAGACAATGACAAAGGGCCAACGTACCACCTTTAACAGACTGTTGGGGAAAATGCTGTTAGCGAGCACCTATGAAGGCCGAAACACCACACATGGGGTGACCAACACCAACACCAACCCAGGCACACACACAAATGCACGCACACACAAATGCACGCACCTACAAATGCACGCGCACACAAATGCACGCACGTACAAATGCACGCACGTACAAATGCACGCACGTACACACAAAAAAAGACAAACCCACACGCATCCGAATGGAGTACGAACACACCTGGGCTGCCCCGGTTGGTACCGGGCCGCCCGGCGACAGTGGCGGCACGAGGGCCGGGCAGAGAAATGGCGCCTCTCCCTGCACGTCCGCGGTGAGCAGCGCGCTGCGCTTCCACAGCAGCGCCGTCGCCGCGGAGCCACACCACGGCGGTGGCAGCGGCGTCGCTGGCACCGATGGCGACGCAGGCGAGGGGGGCAGCAGGCGGCTGGGTGGCAGTGGCGGGGTGCGACGTGACGCCACTTCTTGCTCCAGCTCCGTGTCCGGCACCAGCAGCACGGCCATCTTCTCTGCCAGTCGGCGCACGGTGGCGGCGGGATCGGCCTGCAGCAGGGCCGACACGGCGCCGGCGTTCTTCTTCCGGCGGCCCTTCCTGGGTGCGGCTGCCAAGCACGTCGATCGCACAGATAAAGACCCCCCCCCCCGCCCCGTGTAGCTTACGCAGAGTGCTGGGGCAAGTGCTGTTAGCGGGTAGCACCTATGAAGGCCGGCACGGCACACGAGGGGGTGTGTGGCCAGCACCTCCCCCGGCCGCCTTTGTCTCCCCAGTGGCGATATTCACATAGGGGAGGCCGAGGACCGGTTCAATTACTCGTCACTGGTGTTGGCCGTGAGCAGGAATCGAACTCGGGTCTTCGGGTTTGTTGTGTGTACAGTATACACAAGTCAAACGCGGCACTCAAACGCGGTGAATGGACAGCTCGGGAAGGACATTCCAGTAGTGGAACTGTAGAACCTAGAATTAACAAGAACCTGAGTTGGTATCTGGGTTGAAGCCACCGCAATTAAATCAGGTTTCCAAATCATGAGCGTTTCGCTCGACTTTTAAACCAAATACCCCACGGTATAAAAGTTGGTGTTTTGTGGGATCATTTTGGCAGTCCTAAGCCAGTGGCAGAAATATAACATCCCTCAACACAACCGTTGTTGAAATCCCACTCGTGTTGAGCGCGATAGGAGTTGAGCTCGCGACCATCAAATTGTAACTTCATTCCTTTGCCACCACTAATGTTGTTAATGCTGTGGAGCTAATTATTCAGTAATGTTAATAACTATTTCGATATTTAACGTATTTGGCATTTTATATTAAGCGTGGCCAATTCACGATTCTTCAACACAATTTTTCAGAAGACGAGGTCACTTAACACATTTAAGTGCCCGCTAATTTACTGAATAAACAGTCAGCGTTAGTGCATAAGAATCCCCAAATAATGCCGACGTGTGTTAGACTGATCATTTATTCAATGACACGTGCCAATTTACGGAACGGCTAATTTTCCGTCTCGAACCCATTTCGAGACGTAATTGTGCATGTTCGGCAATTAAACACACAAGTGCTTAGTTGTCGTTGGTAACAAAAAAACAGTTTGCCGCATGACACTTGCACATTGTTCCGTGATGTTTGATTTTTTTGTAATTTTAACGTAATTATTTGACCCCTCTGCAAAACATGACTTAGTACTTGGTGGCAAAACCCTTGTTGGCAATCACAGTGGTCAGACGTTTCTTGTAGATGGCCACCAGGTTTGCACACATCTCAGGAGGGATTTTGTCCCACTCCTCTTTGCAGATCTTCTCCAAGTCATTAAGGTTTCGAGGCTGATGTTTGGCAACTCGAACCTTCAGCTCCCTCCACAGATTTTCTATGGGATTAAGGGCTGGAGACTGGCTAGGCCACTCCAGGACCTTAATGTGCTTCTTCTTCAGTCACTCCTTTGTTGCCTTGGCCATGTGTTTTGGGTCATTGTCATGCTGGAATACCCATCCATGACCCATTTTCAATGCCCTGGCTGAGGGAAGGAGGTTCTCACCCGGTACATGGCCCCGTCCATCGTCCCTTTGATACGGTGAAGTTGTCCTGTCCCCTTAGCAGAAAAACACCCCCAAAGCATAATGTTTCCACCTCCATGTTTGATGGTGGGGATGGTGTTCTTGGGGTCATAGGCAGCATTCCTCCTCCTCCTCCAAACACGGCGAGTTGAGTTCATGCCAAAGAGCTCCATTTTGGTCTCATCTGACCACAACACTCTCACCCAGTTGTCCTCTGAAACATTCAGATGTTCATTGGCAAACTTCAGACGGGCATGTATATGTGCTTTCTTGAGCAGGGGGACCTTGCGGGCGCTGCAGGATTTCAGTCCTTCACGGCGTAGTGTGTTACCAATTGTTTTCTTGGTGACTATGGTCCCAGCTGCCTTGAGATCACTGACAAGATCCTCCCGTGTAGTTCTGGGCTGATTCCTCACCGTTCTCATGATCATTTCAACTCCACGAGGTGAGATCTTGCATGGAGCCCCAGACCGAGGGAGATTGACAGTTCTTTTGTGTTTCTTCCATTTGCGAATAATCGCACCAACTGCTATCACCTTCTCACCAAGCTGCTTGGCAATGGTCTTGTAGCCCATTCCAGCCTTGTGTAGGTCTACAATCTTGTCCCTGACATCCTTGGAGAGCTCTTTGGTCTTGGCCATGGTGGAGAGTTTGGAATCTGATTTATTGATTGCTTCTGTAGACAGGTGTCTTTTATACAGGTAACAAGCTGAGATTAGGAGCACTCCCTTTAAGAGTGTGCTCCTAATCTCAGCTCGTTACCTGTATAAAAGACACCTGGGAACCAGAAATCTTTCTGATTGAGAGGGGGTCAAATACTTATTTCCCTCATTAAAATGCAATCATTTTTTGTCTCTCACTGTTCAAATAAACCTACCAATAAAATTATAGATTGCTCATTTCTTTGTCAGTGGGCAAACGTACAAAATCAGCAGGGGATCAAATACTTTTTTTCCCTCACTGTAGATGTACACCTATGCTGTGTGGTGTCTAAAGTTATCCGACAAGTGTAAATTCAACAAAACAGTCAGGGATTTGGTCAGAGCATTCCTGGGATGCGACAGCATTTGTGACGTATCAATCTGCACAGGGGTGACATCACTTGCACGCCACCATTATGCATTTGACCATCATTCTAAAGGCTATTTTTGTCATTAATCTTTGCCATAAAACTCATATTAGACAGCCCATTGATACAAAACCCGGGCATGCATCGACACGGTGTACGGTTGTGTTCCCTTTTAAATATTAGAAACATGCATTGAGCTTATTTAGATGATTTTGGTGCTATAAATGTCCAAATGATGAGCCACTTTATCATCTGTGGCCAGGTCGCTTCTGAAAAATAAGTCAATACCTCAGTGGGCTTTGCCTGGTAAAATGGGGATGGTTTTGTTTAATTTGTATGTGTTTGGGTGATTTGTACCTATTTTGTGCTGTGCACTACCATGCTGTTTGTAATATTTGTTGTTATTACGTTCTTACCCGCCCCTGCTGGAGATCTGTGAAAAAGAGGCTTTATAGCTCATCGGATTCCTCCAATGTAAATAAATATTCTGCTTCAGATTCTAAACGACAGTGCTAAGAGATCTTATTTACCGGGCCCCTTCCGACTGCCAAACCTTGACCTTTTCCGCCTCACCTTTGTCGGGAAGAGGCTTGAGTTGCAGCAGCCCCGCGCTCCCAGGAGGAACCCTCTCCTCGAGCTCCATCAGGGAGGCCGACATCGCCAGAGCGACCCTCATTTGTTCTTCCTCGTCCGTGGGGGGCGGCCGCTCCGAAGGCAAGCCCCCACCCCTTCCTCGCACCGCCGCGGAGCCTCCGGTCTTGTTCTTCTTGCCCCTGGGGGCGGCTCCCAAGGATCTGTGGTGGCCCAACGAGCACACAAAGACAAAGGTCCCCCATTATAGCCGGAACGGACTGTTGGGGCAAGTGCTAATGGCGAGCACCTATGAAGGCCGGCACGGCACACGAGGGGGTGGGTGGCCAGGACCATGCCCTGCCGCCTTTGTCTCACTAGTGGAAAATGTTTACACATTGCACCAGGTACTAATTTGAGGCTGAGTCTATCTAGCGGAGGCCCAGGACCGGTTCAGATAATCGAGCAAACACAAAGGTACACACACACACACATGGGTACACATATACAAAGATCCCCGTATAGCCTTTAAAAGACTGTTGGGGGAAGTGCCGTTTGCCACCACCTACAAAGGCCGACACACACACAGACGTACAGAGTTATGGAAAATACTAAGGTTGCCAAAAGAAATGTTTTTCTGATACAATTTAAGATTTCGCAATATGACTATTATGGCGATGTTTATAGCCTTTCTCACCCCAAACACAAATAACTTTACAATCTTGTAATGCTCATACCACACATGCCGTCCAAAAAATAATATTACATAACCACATGTCAATTTAACCACGAAACATATTTAAGAGCACCAAAGCAATCAGTGGATTTTTTTTACTTTAATGATATTGTTTTTTCATAAATACATTTCACAACGGAATTACATACAGTAGTTTAAAAATGTACCAACAATAATACAGCTGTGGTGGCTGTATTTCAAAACGAACCGTACGACTATAGGAGAGCTTATACTGGTAGGAACCTCCTGGTTACACCAGCCCACATTGGATTATTGTGTCCATCCGTCCGTCCGTCGTGCATCCAAAAATGGGAGGGGTGGGGCTGGGTGGGGAGGGGCTTGGTGGGAGGGGTGGGGCTGGTCACCCCGTGGTGCCCTTAAAAAAACTCAACGTTTAACCTACTCATGCCGGCTTGTGCCCGCCCTCAGTCGGGCATATTGTGCGGAATACACCACGTGGTGCCGCCGTTGACCCTGGCCATTGACCGAGCAACCCAACGTTCCTACCAGCTCCCTCCGCAGGAGAATGTGTTATCATACAGTGTATTGTAGCATCAACCCTATCACAGCAGCCCTTGCAAAATACGTAACGCGAGTTCTGTTCGCCTGCAGACCGCGTGTCTCCAATCCCGTTGCAGCTATCGAGCCTTCACTGCTTTCAAGGTCTGTACATTGTTTCATGTCGTGTGAACTTCAGAAGCCTCTCATGATTGAAGTACACAAGTGCCAAAAAAGGCATGGCTTTATTGTCCTAAGAGCCTATTAAAATCTAATGCACGCCGAGTGCACCAGCAGCAGCGGGCGTTGAACGCTTCCCGTCCTGTCATTTTGATGCATTTTCATTTATAAACAAAAAAAATATCTAACGTGAGTGTGTCTGTGCTAAATGTCTTAAAATACCTGTGACTTGAGCACCACTACATCTCTTATTCGCTTTCATTATAACAGACAAATAATGTTTCTTTGAATAGTAACTTTAGTTTCCTCTACTGCAGCAAACAGGAAGTTCACTTCTAATGATCACTTATTTCAGTAACATGATGTCCATGTATTGTCACCTTGATATAACTAAACACCATCTCCTGTTCCTCAAGGACACTCGGATCTCACCATCATCTGACCTCACACATTAAATGTTCCCAGTCTAAAGCCTTTCTCACTCTTTCTGGCCCCACTGTGGATTTTATGTAACCGCCAGCGAGAGCGTCTCCATGTCACACTCCCTCGTGTGGAAAACTCTGGCACTGGTTTTGATCATCTGTGCGTCAGATTATTTCACGTCTACTAAATTAATTTCTTGTCATTACCACAAGTAGTAACAATCTTCTCAAAATATTACTCAGACATATCCTGGTGCTGAGATCATAGTCCGTGTGTGACTTTAATATCCACAACAGTTTTGTGGCTACAAAAACGCCACACCAGAAATTACGCTAGGTGTGAAGCTCTTATGTCATTAAGATTCACTATGTAGGAGGCTTACTGACGACAAAGTAATTATAACATCCAATAGGAAAGAATTTCAGGAAATGTTAAAAGACCTTTATACAATTCTGCAAATATCTGGCCGAGGATAAATATCAGAAAAACAATGGTTATAATAATAATAATGGGTTTATATACGAACATTTATCTACACAACTGGAGATATCCGTCATAGCGACACAACTTGGAAACAAAACAGAATACTCATATTGCAGACGATACGGTTCTCGCGGACCTTATCATTAACATTGCCACTTCACGGCAACGCTACTCGGCACGCCCCTGCCGCAAGTGCCTGCAGCGCAAGCTGCCGGGTCATCTCACCTGCCGGCGGCAGCGGTGGCGATGGCAGGCGGTGCCGCCGTGCCGGCCTGCGCTTGCTGGCGCTGCACAGCCAGTACCAGGTCGCGCGACGCCACGTGCAGCTCGCGGGCGCAGCGCTTGAGGTGGCCGGCGCGCGCCTTCTCCGTCTGGAAATGGCGCCCGCAAATGGGGCACTCGGGCACGGCTGCACCCGCTGCAGCGGCTACACCAGCGCCACCAGCGGGAGCCGGCGCCTGGCCCGGGCACAACTGTTCCTGGTCGTCTAAACACCTACGACAACACGACATGTCAACGCGTCTCTCGGCTGTGTAGAGGTAAAGGTGCAGCGCTGCAGCCCCTTGTTCACAATTGCGTTCAGGAAGTGAATAGAAGCACTGCACGTGTTGCAGTAAAACGTCGGACATCACGCCGAACGACAGGCGGTACATCCCGAAAACACACCGTAGAGCTACACAGCACGACCGCCAAAACATATGCAGTGGTATAACAAATATACCGTCACTACTGCATTGTCATATAAAACAGAAATGTCATTGATTACACAGATGGCCGCTATGTGTAGCTCCAACACTTGTGCCTGTGACAAATACATATGCAAAGAATGTAAAAAATACGGACTCGGCATAACATGAGCAGCAGTGCAGAAGGCGTGAGCCCGCCTTGGTCTGGTGGCAAACCTGTTGATGTGCTGCTGTCTGCGTACGCTGTTCATGTGCGTCAGCTCCTTCTGGCAGACGTGGCAGAAGCAGAGCCCTGAGGGCACTTCACCAAAGAGGGCACACTCAAGCCCAGGAGCGAGCAGCAACAGCCGCTCCTCCTCCTCCTGCTGTTGCAAAACCCGCGCCAGCTGCTCGTCGCTGAGCACCGACGCCGTGCCTGCGGTGCCCGCACACCAGCGTTAAAATTCTGTTCACGGATTTAGTGGTGAAAATATGTCCCAAGATGTGTTTGTAACAGTGCTCTTCAATTGAAGTTGAAAGGATGCATTACCCGTCTGTCACTTTGTTTCTGTAACATGGGGTGACCAATCACTCTCGTACTGATGATCTAAGTGGTGTTGGCACTAGCGAATTTGCCCTATCGATTAATCGGCTCAATCGGTTACTCGTCCCAGTTCTGTGAAGAACTCGTGTAAAAAATAGGTATACAGCAACAAAGGACTACAGAAATATCGTATCCAACAGAAAGGCACTTTCAAATGTGTAGAAATTGCAATGAGAATTTTTGGAATGTCAGAAACTCACAGCACAGGTACAGCAGTTCAGGACTGAGTACAGCACAACTATAAGGGCAAATGCTGGCCTGGCAGTATCGAGAAAAGACAATGCACTTGTTATTTCACATAGGCCTGCATGTGTTCCGAACGCATACCTGTGTCAGGGCCAAGGTAGATTCTCTCAGGAGCCTGCCGCCTGCGAACACAAGCAGTAAACACCACCACCACGGTTAACAATCATCAACACCCATTCCATCTGCTGACAGATGAAGGCCTTAAAGTTATTTGTGGTTTCGGTTTGTTTGATTTAGAGTTGTTTGTTGGCATGGAACAATACACGCTCATGACCAACCATCCCCTGTCAATTAAACCGTTTGCCACAATTGTGGATCAGGATTCGATTAAAAAACTTGATTATATATTTGTCTCAATTGTGCCGTTTCATTTATGTTGTCCGCTTTGTATGTAGTGTCTTATTCGTTTTACAGGATGTACACGAAGGTATTCTGCTTGTACTATCGATGCCACGTCACCTGACAAAGAATCCATTCGGATCTCTCGGAGAGCAGTGCAACCCTTCATATTTAGGAATGGCCCACAGAAGCGAATATCATGAAAAAATGATTCAATTACATTGGACAGCAGTGTGAGCTAGGCTAATCAAACGTGTCTGCCCATGACAATGATGACGCACATCGCACCAGGATTTGAGAGCACTCTCGCGAAGTGCAGAACTCAGTGTGTGGCATTCATAATCCACTCGTAGAAGTGCCCGTGCTTGTACCATAATACCGAGTTGCTGACGCACGATGTTGTCAACTGTGCTCCTGGGAACACCCAGTTCCAGTGATACTCTTCGAGTCGACTACTGCCAATTGCCTACCACATACCTGTCAACCCCTTATCAGTGTCTACCTTATTACTCAGCAATTCAGACCTTATTGCTCACCCCGTGCCCTTATAAATCTCAACGTTCATCCTACAAAGTCCCATCACAAGGGAGAAACACAAACAAAACTTTGTTTTTGTTGCTTTTTGTTGCTTATTTATAATCCACTTCTACGAGTGGATTATGAATGCCACACACTGAGTTCTGCACTTCGCGAGAGCGCTCTCAAATCCTGGTGCGATGTGCGTCATCATTGTCATGGGCAGACACGTTTGATTAGCCTAGCTCACACTGCTGTCCAATGTAATTGAATCATTTTTTCATGATATTCGCTTCTGTGGGCCATTCCTAAATATGAAGGGTTGCACTGCTCTCCGAAAAACTTTGTTTTTGTTGCCCGGATTAAAACGGCTGTACGCCGTATGGACCTCAAAACTCAATTTCCCTGTACAGGAATATCGGGTAAACCGTATGGGTTGACAGTTAGGCTACCATGACTTCTGCAACACTTTCATACGTTTATTTATGACTGCAGAGGGCCTGCCAAAACCCGATATCTTTGAATCAATGTATCATATTAAAAAAAAAATACAATACCAGGCCTGTGATTCTGGTGATTTGTTTTTCCCAAACAAAACTTTAAAATTCTTGTTCCACGCAGATAACACTTCAAAATCACACGTACAAACATTCTACTTTTTGCTTTTCCTAGTAATGGTGTAGTTTTGTTGGTGGGTTATGCATCTGCCACCTCGTGGTAAAAATATACAAAAGGAAATGTTTGCCAACATTTCGAACAGTTGAAACGGCTGTCCAATGATAATTCTTTGCGAATGGACGATACCCTTATTGACATGCTGAATTAGCGCAAAAGGCACACTGGCGTATTCTTCGTATATATTTTGGATATCATTTGTATCAATCATACATATTTGATTATTCATTCACATATGATTTTCATAAATGTATTGTGAACATTATAAGTGTTATTTATTTAAATTTAGGCTATGAAACCAGCAATACCCAATCCTTGCAAATTACATCACAGGGGCTCTCAACATCTACCATCGAACGCGGATCATAGCTTGTAAATTCTCCCAAAAAAGATCCACCAGGGACCCAATGCCCAAGTGGATCAGTAGCAAGCACACTGCTCTCCCAGTTGCCCTCACAAGCATAAAAGCAACTGGCCAGGTAAGGAGGGGCACTGCTCTTGATGAACCCATGCACACGGGGAGCCATCCACTCTACCTGTATTTCTGCAGCTTTTCCAACACCAGGTCCTTGACGCGAGGCCTCGGCTTACCCGCGACGCCTACGCTCGTGCTCAGAGCGACCGAGGTGGCGGCCGCCTTCCCCGCCGGCCACTCGGCTACAACAATCGCGCCGTCGCTGTCGCCATCGCCGGCCGCTCCGTGCGGCTCAGGCGGAATCGGCGCGGGCAGTGGCAGCCGAGTCGCCCCGATCGCTCCCTCGCGGGCGCCCTCGGTCGCAGGCGTTGCGGCGACGATGCCGTCCTGCTTCGCGACAGAGTCCGCTCGCGACGCCTCGGCCTTTTCACCGCCGGGTTTGGGCGAGCGCTCGCCCGGGCGAGCAGCAGCCGCCTCGTCGCCCGTGCCGGCTCCCAAGCCCACGGTCGACGGCGCCCGCACCAGACGCTCGGCGGTCGCCTTCCCGGCGCCAGCGCTGTGGTCGCCCACCGGTTGCAAACGCCGGTCGTCCTGCGCGACGTCCGCGTGCCCATCTGTGGGTTTGACGATGACACACTCGCTCGAATATTCGCCACGTGGCCCCATGTGACGTTTATGTCGCTTTAGAACTGAGATTGTGACTGCCTGTGTGCCTACATTTCAAAGGTGGCAGCGTTTAATCTGCTGTAATGAGAAAAGCACTCACACAATTACAGATTATGTACAGAAGCTGGTTATAAGCACACATTACTAGCACAGTTGTAATATAAGCAACATTACACAAGTAGGGGCAAGGCGGAGGGAAACTTCTAATACAAGCACACTACTTTGGAACAGAAGCACACCTAGTCTTGATCCCAAGGGGTGTGCTTATATCCAACTTCTGCTGTGTTCGAGTTTAAGAATATGTGAATGCGAGAGGACACAAGAAGCATAAGCATGGAGCTCAATCAGCTCACACCATGCGCACACATGAGCGCGTGTGTAGATGTACCCGCAGCTGTCGCGACCCTCGCCACGTGCTCTGCACCAACGTTGCCGAGCGAGCCGCCGGGCAGGTCGGACACCTCGGCGGGGTTTCGCGCCACTCGCCGCTTCTTCGCCTCGGCGCTCACCGACGCGTCTTCGGGCTTCTGCCGGTGCTCCTCCGCTCTCCGACCACGCGCACACTCCATGTCCGGTCCGGGCTGCTCCTCGGTGCTCCTCGAAGACGAGCCATCCTCCCATGCTGTCGCGCCGGCGGGCGGAGTTTTGGAAGCAGCGGCAGCAGCATCGTGGCTCACCGCCAATGCGGCGCTGCGCGTGTTGTTGCGCCGGGAGAGTTTGCGGTCCTTCCCCAGGCACTTGGCCGCGGGAGGACCGCATCGCGTGCTCGCCGGGTTGAAGTCGTCGTCTTCAGAGTCCCACCCGCAGGAGCTGCTCACGGAGAGCGCCATTCCGTCGCTCCGTCCCATCCTGCCGGGCTCACTGCTCGGGAACGCGATGGGATCTGCCATCATGGCACCCGCTCTGAGCCGGAACAAAGGCAAAAAAAATGTGCCCGTATAGGCGTACAAATTGTTGGGGAAGGTTCCGTTGGCGAGCATCGATTCGGGGCAGAATTGCGCACGAGCGGTTGTTCTGCCTGGCACTGCACCAGGCCGCTTTTGTTCCCCCCCCTGCCCTCTCCCCCGGCAAGCGCCAACGTTTACACATCACAACAGATGCAAGTTGACTCAAGGGTAGCCCGGGAACGGTTCAGATATTCACCACTGTTGTTAGCCGTGGTCAGGAATCTAACTCAGGTTGCCGGGTTCATAGTGCAGCGTGCTAAGCACTGCGCCACCATTCCACCTTGATCTAAAATAAAAACGTGGTAACTTCTTCTCTGCTGCTCCTATGGGCTAATCCCACCATAGTTGTGCATGTACTGTATTACACATCTCCCCTGTTCACTGTGTTTACATCCACTGTACAGCAATATCTTTACATTCTCACGACTACCAAGTGATTCGCACGTGCACACACCTCAGTGACGTCTGTCACTGAAAATGGCCATTGCGGTGACAGACGTGACTGAACGTTTTTATGAAAGACTAGCTTTACTACCCGGCTTCGCCCGGGACTTGGATAAACCACGCGCGGCCGCCTTTGTCTCCCCAGTGGCGATGTTCACACAGCACAGCCGTTACTCGTTTGAGGCTGAGTCGACCTAGGGGAGGCCCAGGAGCGGTTGAAATAATCGTCACCGGTGGTGGCCGTGAGCGGGAATCGAACTCGGGTTGCCGGGTTCGTAGCGCGGCGCTAACCACTACACCACAAAGCGTTACGCTTCCACATGCGAGGGTCACGTGACAGATTTGACGTCACAGTTCACTAGCCGTGCAAAAATAAATGCATTATTGAGCTCCCGCCCCCCCCCCCCAAAAAAAAATAACGTATTTTTGTAATTTTTGCATGGTGTACAGTCTGGAAAGTACCCACATGGCAAATTTAAAGTTTGTTGTTATCGAAACACGAAATTAAGCAGGGACACGTAACTACAACTTACTTTGTTTCATCAAAACCTATGCATTTATTAACATTATTAAAAAAATTACGATTGAGAACCAAGTGAGCGCAAGGCTGCGGTAAAGGTTATAGAACCACTGCTCTAAGTGCGGCTAGGAAGTCGTTGCAACTTGCTTGCAAAAATAGCACACGGTACAAATGATAGGATAGAGTGTGTTATACTGTGTAGAAACCTCCTGGTTATTACACCACCAGCCCACAGGGGATTATTGTGTCCGTCCGTCGTGCACTCAAGAATGGGAGGGGTGGGGCTGGGTGGGGAGGGGAGGGTGGGGAGGGTGGGCAGGGGCTGGGTGGGGGGTGGGAGGGGTGTGGCTGGGTGGGGGGTGGGAGGGGTGTGGCTGGGTGGGGAGGGGCTGGTCACCCCGTGGTGCCCTTATAAAACTCAACGTTTAACCTACTCACGCCGGCTTGTGCCCGCCCTCACAGTCGGGCATATTGTGCGGAATACACCACGTGGTGCCGCCGCCGTTGACCCTGGCCATTGACCGAGCAACCCGACGTTCCTAACCAGCTCCCTCCGCAGGAGAATGTGTTTTTGCGTCTCACTGTTACGAGGATCGGCGAGTGATCCGTGCGAGCCTCACACTGCTGACGAGACACTGCTGACGAGACACTGCTGATGAGACACTGCTGACGAGACACTGCTGACGAGACAATGATGACGAGACACTGCTGATGAGACACTGCTGTCTCGTATGAGACACTGCTGACGAGACACTGCTGACGAGACACTGCTGACGAGACACTGCTGATGAGACACTGCTGATGAGACACTGCTGACGAGACACTGCTGATGAGACTGCTGACGAGACACTGCTGACGAGCCACTGCTGATGAGACACTGCTGATGAGACACTGCTGTCTCGTATGAGACACTGCTGACGAGACACTGCTGATGAGACTGCTGACGAGACACTGCTGATGAGACACTGCTGATGAGACTGATGATGAGACACTGCTGATGAGACACTGCTGACGAGACACTGCTGTCTCGTATGAGACACTGCTGATGAGACACTGCTGATGATACACTGCTGACGAGACACTGCTGTCTCGTATGAGACACTGCTGATGAGACACTGCTGACGAGACACTGCTGACGAGACACTGCTGATGAGACTGCTGACGAGACACTGCTGACGAGCCACTGCTGATGAGACACTGCTGATGAGACACTGCTGACGAGACACTGCTGATGAGACTGCTGACGAGACACTGCTGATGAGACACTGCTGATGAGACGCTGCTGACGAGACACTGCTGTCTCGTATGAGACACTGCTGATGAGACACTGCTGATGAGACACTGCTGACGAGACACTGCTGTCTCGTATGAGACACTGCTGATGAGACACTGCTGACGAGACACTGCTGTCTCGTATGAGACACTGCTGACGAGACACTGCTGATGAGACTGCTGACGAGACACTGCTGTCTCGTATGAGACACTGCTGATAAGACTGCTGACGAGACACTGCTGATGAGACACTGCTGTCTCGTATGAGACACTGCTGACGAGACACTGCTGATGAGACACTGCTGACGAGACACTGCTGATGAGACTGCTGACGAGACACTGCTGTCTCGTATGAGACACTGCTGATGAGACACTGCTGACGAGACACTGCTGATGAGACACTGCTGACGAGACACTGCTGTCTCGTATGAGACACTGCTGATGAGACACTGCTGACGAGACAATGCTGATGAGACACTGCATGTGGAAACCGCCCCAGAGTTTGCCTGTGCTGAATCGATGCCGCCGAAACGAACTGCACTTCCCCGAAATGAGGGCGTGCCGCAGATGGGTTGTGTCATAATTGATTCTTTTTAATTTATTGTGCAGGGTGTTTAAAAATGATGGACCCCGGGTACTTGCTTTGAAATTTGTGTCCATCTCTTTTTTTAAAAACACCCTGTATTGTTAATACTGATAGCAGAGTCTCCGCAAAGACGCTTAGAGGGGTACGTCGGGTGACAATCCACAGGTCACAGGCTCCATTCGATCTCCAGGCGCGGCTCTCGAATTCACCGATAAAGTTCATTATTGGTATTATTGTTGTTGTTATTATTACACGCTTTTTATTAACTGTTGTATCCTCAAATCTTGTAACTCAATTTTTACCCGCTTCCCAATGTGGTATCGACTGCAAACTCGGTATACTTATGTCATACTGATGACAATACTATATTCTATCATTAAAAATGAAAAAAAATATTTAAACATTATTTTTTTTACATGTTATGTTTCGGCTTGGGTCTAATTGTCCACGCTCAACTCACGTTGGCTGTAAATCACCACCGGTCCCCTTGCGTTACGCCAAGCTTCGTGGCCACTTCCTGGAGTCGTGCAGTTCTACCATTACTTGTAGGGTACATTTAAATAAAAAAGCGTGTTTTAAAATCAATAAGTAAAAGTTTAAAACTAAAATATTACTTATTAAAAGATCTCCCCTCTTGTGTCCTACCCAGCAGCAGCGGCGTCAATGGGCGCAGTCGTCGCGCGCGGTGGGGGGTGGGAGTGGTAACGTTGCGGCTGACCCTACCTCTCCTTTTAAGAACGTGTGGCCGGCGTGGAAGAGTAGGCCAAATGACCCTCTTGGAGGTGGCCGTTGCCTGCAGTGGAGGCGGCGGCGACGACGCCGACACCGCCGCCTCGTGCAGCTGGGGCGGGCGGGCGGGCGAGCGGGCGGGCAGTTTCAGGGGCTGCGCCTTCACCTTCTTCATCGCACGGAGGTGAGCCGCGTGCGGGCGCCCGGCAGATCGTTGCGCCGCAGAGACGAGAGGGCTTCATCCAGCAGCGGATAGGTCATGGCTGGCGATGATTATTAATGATTATTGATTATTAATGATGATGAAGAAGCAACAGCAGCAGCACCGGAAACCCGCATTCAAAATGCGGCCGTTTCATCCAATCAGCGGCGACAATACGAGCCCGGCCGATAGAAGCCGTGTCGCCATTGGATGAATTTATACGCGCTTTTTTTTAAATAAATGTCATTTATATTTTTTGTCAACTTACGACTGTTGCTGTTATTTCTTTTTGGGTTTTATTTAACGATTCGGGATTGCAGCATTCGAAGTGGGTTATAATATAGACATTGATCGGCATTATTAGTCTCATCAGCGATTCCATTCGGGCGATTTAAACAATTCCATTGAATTTGGAATCGATTCAAATACACGAATTGTTTATGAATCGATTCGCAATGACTGAATTTATTAGGAATCGATTATGCTAAACATTTTCTGCATTTGCAACTATCCCATAAGAATCGATTTAAAGCTTTCGTGACTGCAAGGATTCATCTTCTTTGGTTCTTTCGGTAAAGTCACCACGTAGAATAAGAATAAAATAATAAATTGATAAAATAAAATAACACAATAAAATTCTCACGACGTTTCGGCCACAACACAAGCGGCCTTCATCAGACAGTCTCGTCCCTTCACCTGATGAAGGCCGCTTGTGTTGTGGCCGAAACGTCGTGAGAATATTATTGTGTTATTTTATTTTATCAATTTATTATTTTATTCTCATTCTACGTGACTTTACCGAAATAACCAAAGAAGATGAATCATTGCAGTCACGAAAGCTTTAAATCGATATTATAGCCTCGCTCAGTATAAAAACAAGTTAAAAGTTTTCCGTTCAAACTTGACGGTGCTGTTTGTTGCTGGTCGCTTGACGTTTTGGGTCTGTGCTTAAAAGAAGGGTAATTCAAACCAACACCTTAATCGAATACAGAGCCATTTGTGAGGAACGGAACAACGACTCCACTTGGCATCTCACCAAGTAACAATACAAATGAGTCAGACAATGGGGATAGGCTGGCATCTCCAAATCATTTGAAGCCTTCCCGAAGATCACGTGACTCGCGTGGCCACGCCCACTCTTAATCCCTCCCCTCTTCCCACCCACTGTGAAAACAGACGCTGCTGCTCCTCTTCCCAGTCAGGGGCCGTCCATAAATGACGTCACGCGATTTTGGACGATTTTTTACCCCCCCCCCCACCTCGTCACACGGCGTCACAAAAAGTCAGACCCACCCCCCCCTCAAATATGACGTCACAAAGCTCTGCCCCCCCCCCAAAAAAAATTTCCATTTTGAAAATAAAAACATGCTTCAAATCGCTTTAAACTATTGTCATTGTAGTGCGTATTTAATGTGGCGCTGCACTCTGATGTTGTAGGAGTGTTATAACAATTCTATATTTATTTAAAGTTGCGCATTTTGATGTGACGTCACATTTCTCAAACCCCCCCCCCCCCTCGTCACACATCGTCACAAATGTCTGACCCCCCCCCCCCCCCCAGGTGCGTGACGTCATTTATGGACGGCCCCACATCCACCGACCGACATCTCATCCCGCTCGTTCCGACTGCCCTTCCAGCCCGGCGCGTGAGATGGGATCAGCTCAAATGTCCAAATGGCTTGTGGAATCGCAAAGTTACGCGGATGGCAAGTGTGAGTAGACCATTGTTTGGCAGTGGATTTATCATTTTCTTTATCAATAAAATGTTCCTGGCGAGATCACTGTCTCGGCCTACTCAATAGAAGTGAGTGCCTCCTATTGAGCATTGTTGATGTTTCCACAGAAACAACAAATCTTTTTTTTCTTATTGGAGAACAGAACGCATATACCGTCATGGAAATTAAGCAATGAATCCAACATTTTTTACCGCTCGTTTTGTCACTTTTATTATGAAAGAAGTTACAAGATTTTTTTTAGCGTAAAATTTCAATTTTCCTCGTCCATTTCCTCAGCTGGTGCCGACACTCATCGATGCCTTAATCCCATCTCGACTTGGATGATTGCATTTCCTCTGCAGCCTCCCCAATTCCCTCCTCTCCAAACTCCGTATCTAAAATGCCACTGCAAGACTTTTTAACCCCACCCATAAACCAGACCATATCGCTCATGCTCCGTTCACATTCCATCAAATCCTGGAACAATGTTCAGAAGTGCAGTCTTGAAGATCCCCCATGCACTCATCCATTACCCATTAGTAATTTTGGTGAACCAGGTCACGCTTGCAAATAAGACTATCGCTGTCTCTTGAGTTCCCACCTGATTAAAGAAAATTTACTTTACGCTAATTACCGTACCTCTGCCTTCTCATCCCACTCTACACCCCTCAACGCACGTGCTGTTTCAGTAATAAACGCATTCGGTCGAAGTTCCTGGTCAACGTTCACTCAGTGGGAGGTTGCTCGTTCTCTTTCAATGTCCCCATCATAGTCTGGAACTCCCTTGCCACGAGCAATCTGTGCTGTGGACTCCCTGCGCCTATTCAAGTCCTTCCTCAAGACCTTTTTTTTCCTTTGACTTCCTCTCTCCATAATTAAATATGCCCACTGCGAGAAACAGTGGAAGATGAATGAAAAAAAAAACATTCACGGTCTAACGTTTGTTCCACATTTTTCTACATTCATAAAAAATATATATACACATTTATTTACAGATGTTTGTCTCTTCACCCAAGTTCACCAAATATTTAGTTATATTTTAATGACAAAACTTATATTACAATTTCGATGTAAAGCTTTCGTGACTGCAAGGATTCATCTTCTTGGTTCTTTCAGTAAAGCCACGTAGAATGAGAATAAAACAATCAAACAAAATAAGACAATAAAATTCTCACGACGTTTCGGCCACAACACAAGTAGCCTTATTCAGGTGAAGGAACAGAACTGTCGGGACGACAGTGCTTCAATGAACGCTGATAAGATTCGCAGCGTCTTTTAAGCTAGGTGGGAGAAGTAAAGCGCCTTGACAAAGGAGTTTACATATCAAACAGGAGAATTTAGCATTGAAATAGCTGTGTTAAAGTGTTGGATCAGCAGGGTGCTAAAGTCAGAAATTAGCATGTAACTGGGAGATTAGCATGATGTTAAAGTGAGGGATTAGCATGTGACTGGTCACGGAAATAGCTATGTTAAAGTCAAAGTTTAAAGGTGAGAGACTCGATTAGTTTAGCCTTATCTTGGAGTTTGTTGAAGAATCTTAAGGTTGTGTGGAATCCCTCCCCGTAGAGGTGGTCAAATTGCATATTATATTACAATTGTTGCATTCCTGGAAAAGTAAGTTTGAATGATCTCGTAAATGGAGATACGCCACGGTGCCACGAACAGGGAAAAAAGAGGCTGGCATGTGTTGCACAGCGTCCGGTGAGCTGCACACACAGCTGCAGAAATCCACTCTCCAACAAGCAAAGTTGCATTTGGATGCTCATACCCACAAGCATGCAGAGAAGAGTCCAATATCTCTAGCCACTAGAGGTCCGATACTGCTATTGGTGTTCCAAGTCACTTGCAAATGAAACTTTATCTTGGTCTCTTCGAGTTCTCACCCTGCTTAAACAAAATAAACTTGAAACAAATGTGAAATCTTGCAGCGAGTGGCAAAAAGCAAACGCCTGCATACGAAACCCAGTGTTCATATGGGAACTTCTGGCCTGATTCAAAATACCGCTGCTCTGCAAAACACTGCTACCTCTAAGAAAAAGTAGTTTATGGGCTCAAGGGGAAGAGTAATGGGTGTATTTATTATGGGTGCACCACAACTATGTATAGGTGAAGCGAGTTTCGATTTAAAACTTTCGTGACTGCAAGGATTCATCTTCTTTGGTTCTTTCGATAAAGTCACGTAAATGAGAATAAAATAATAAAATAACACAATAAAATTCTCACGACGTTTCGTCCCGACAGGTCTGTACCGACAGGTCGTCCCGACAGGTCTGTACCGACAGGTCTGTACCTTTCACCTGAAGACGGCCGCTTGCGTTGTGGCCGAAACGTCGTGAGAATTTTATTGTGTTATTTTATTATTTTATTCTCATTCTACGTGACTTTACCGAAAGAACCAAAGGAGAGGTGAAGCGAGATTAATGAGGTTTGGGGTTAACGATAGGGCTACCAATCGGTTCCAGCACAACGCTGCAGATCAGCGGTATTCTAGGCTACACTACCGCCCGCCTTGGTGAACGGCGCACAAGGGACGCTGGGGCCCTGTCGTCTGCCAGTGAGAGAGATCATTTGGCGTCAATCGCTGAGCTCCTCCTCGTCGCTGAAGTAGTGGCTCTGCTTGATGCGGTGCCGCGTGCCGTCGGCGTCCGAGGTCCCGGGCTGGCCATCGCCACCGCCACCGAAATGGCGCCGCTCCTCCTCCACACGCGCATGCTGCGGAACACACCGCGTCCCCCAGCACAAGCGCAATGAGCAAAGCAAACAATACATCCATTATACATTAACAGACACAGTCTTCTACCGCACCTTGTCCGGTATAATGTCCCAGATCATGTCGGACAACACGCATGGCATAATGCCAACCAACACGCGGTACAACTCGAAAACCCATCGGACAGCAATACAGCAGCACAAACAGGAGCAAGACACGCACACAGTGCTATACATGCACTGCTCAGGTTTAATATGCATGGTTGGTATTTTTGCTGTTAAGGCTCATTGGCCTACTGTTGAAAATGTTTATACCAAAAGCGTCTTTTACTTCCACAGTGATGTACATGTACGGCCCTTTATTAGTCCAATGCTGAAGGCCTCCCCCCACGCCGTACAGGTCGTGGGGGTTGTTTAAAACAAAAATATTTAAACTTTTTTCTTGTACTAGGTAAGGCCCACTGAGCTATATGGCCGGTTTTCAGAGGCGACCTGGCCACAAATGATACCCCAATTAAGTGCCTTATCACGTGGAAATGTATAGCAGCCAAATTCTCTTAACGCATACCTCACCCCTGCTGGTCCGTGTGGGGGAGCATAGGTGTATGAGCATCTGCACTACCCTCTGATGCTTAAAATTTAATTTAACAATATCCATCACAAATTACCGTGGGGCGGGGGCTGTGGAAACCGAAACTAAATTGATATGCAGACTCGTTCAGTCGTGTACCGTCGACCAGTCCGAAACTCGGTCGCTTTAAGGCACCTGGAAAGCGATGGCTTGGCTCAAGCTGTCCAGGGCCGGGTCCTCCCCTTCTTCTTCTTCACTCCCAGACACGTTCCTGTGCAACACGCGTGCACCACACAGCAGCCATCAATCAATTCCTGCTCGGTGATGGTGCGGGAGTGTAGCGCGCAGTTTGTGAACGCCGATGCAAGACACGGACAAGCATTAGCGGTGATGGGTAAAGGCTATTATTTTGGCACAGTCAAATTTTATGAAATTCGCAGCTGAGGTGTGGGGAAAAAATTAGTATATAGTTCATGAGCTGTTTTTTTTGTTATTATAAAAATATATATTTTGTTAAAAACGGTTAAAGTAACCATTTCAAAGGAAAACAAAAAATACTTCAACGAAGTACCAGCCCCACGTTAATCTAATTCATTTTTAAAGACATTTCCAAAAGCTCGCAAACGTCATTGAAGTTCCCTGACCATCTTGACCCCTTTGCCAAAATCGTAGCCAAAGCAAGAGGTCATTACGTTTCCTGTTCTTGTGTAGCATCTAACTTCTTTTTCTTCTTCTTCTCTTTCTTTTTTGGTGGATCCCTCTCCCCAAGAACATTCTTGGGACAAATGTAGCTGAGGTGGCCTTCCTCCTAAGAGCCAAGGGGCACACGTGCGCGCACACACACACACAGAATCCAACACAAAACCATCAGCAGGAGAAGGGAAAGATGCCTCCAAGTGATGATAAAATTTCACTCTCGCAACATTCAACAGAGGAGCAGAGACTACGCTATTGTTGGTTTGAATGGTGTCTAAGGTGGATGCCCTCTCTCACAGTGAAAGACCGGGCAGGTGCATCATACAGCTGAAAGGCCAAATGTCAGTCGACAGATCATTCCAAGGATGTACACATATACTCGTGTAGTGTCATCATACATCAACAAACGCAGACACGTTTGCCCCCTTTTACACGCGCGTGGGGTACGAGTACTTGCCCCGCACTCGAAGCAGCGTGACTTGTCCGTGTACGTGCGGCGGCGGATGAACTCCGACGCGCGGCCATTGTCCACGGCGATGCTTGCCTTCAGCGTCCGACCGAACAGCTGCACACACCGAGGGAGACGTCCAGTGAGACGGGAGAAGAACCTAGGCGAGGTTGCGCGTGCATTCGTTAAACGCCCGCATTTTGGAAGCGATTTAACATTTTAAACATCTTTGCCTCGCGAGACGCGATGTGACGAGCACGACATCGGCACGTGGTCTCAAACCTCTCGGGCTCAGAGCAAGGAAATCCAAACAAAGGGGGAAAACTCTTGCAAGTATCACGGACGTGCGGACGTGGTGCTTGCCTCCTTGTTGTTGACTTTGCGCACGCAGTTTTGCGCCGACTCGCGGTCCAGGAAGAGCACGAAGGCCACGCCCTTGCTGCGGCGCGTCTCCCGGTCCCGCACGACGGTCACCCTGCGGGAGACGCGCAGTGGAATTTAGGCTGGCTATCGAACAAAGACGGTCACTGCATCGTGCGCGTTCAGATGCGCTGCTGCGGCCGTCTGGGAACGCTTTTCCTTCCGATATTAGGAAGCCACTGAAGCTGGGCACTTTTAAATCTAGATTGAAAACTCATTTCTTTACAACTACTTTTTTTGTTTCGTTTCTTGTCCTTCCTCCGCACCTCCGATGAGCACGGTTGGCTACGTACGGTGCAAAGTAAGTTCTACACATACAAAGGACGCCCGCATAATGCACTAACCACATAAAGCACAAAAAACACTGAATGGTACTAGTTTACTCATTTCCCCCGTGCCTCTGTCCAACCCAGCAGTCTAAAAGGGCACACCAGTTATTCGATTGGCAGGGTCTTGTTTCGTGGGGCAAAGTCTGGGCACTCCGGCTTCTTCCAAGACATCGTTGCTCGTGTTGAAAATGTCGAGTGGTCTCTCTAGAGCTCCCTCCAGTGTAGTCCCTTCCAGCAGCAGTGGTGTGCATTATGATCAAACTTATTTAAACGACCGATAGGTGACACTGACAACCTGTGTAATACACAATGATAAAACATGTTTAAGCCCATACAGGCATTTGGGGAAACCATGTACATACAATAGAAGTAAACTATTATTTGCTCGGGTTGGATTAAAATACAGTAAAACCTTGGATTGCGAGTAACTTGGTCTGCGAGTGTTTTGCAAGACGAGCAAGAATTTTAAATAAATATTAATTTGATAAACGAGCGAGGGTCTTGCAATACGAGTAGTACGTATATACACTTTGTCTGCCGAGCGTCACGTGATCACAACTGATATACGAGTGCTTTGGATTACAAACACGTTTCCGGAACGAATTATGCTCGCAATCCAAGGTTTTATTGTATATACAATAAGTATGTGTGCCAATCACTATGCCACCCTGTCACTACGTTATGTCGGCCAAATTCATGAATGCATTATTTGCTTACCTAACAACCTTGCCATGCTTTTCCATGATCTGAAACACAAAATAAAACACAACTCTTTAGAACACTTGGTCAACTATGATGAAAATATACCTCAGTTTCATCTCAATGTCAATCGGCATTTATGTGATTTCCAGATCAGCTTCAATAAATAGCGTTGCTGAAACGTTTAACTTAAAATGTTATAATGTGATTTTGACCTAAAACTTTAGTGACTGCAGGAATTCACATTGATGAAGACCGCTTGTGTTGCGATCTAAAAGTCGTGGATTTTTTGCTTTTAATATTTTCAATGTATTATTTGTATTTTCAATTTTTTATTTGATTTTATCTGTTATTTTTCTTTTATTTTCTATCTACGTGACTTTACCGAAATAGCCAATAATATGTTATAATGTGACTTTCTCAATCATAACGTCTCCAACCACAGTCGCCCCTCTCCTGCCACAAAAAACGTATCCACTGTTTGACAAAGAGAAAGTGCACATAGGAAGGAAGAAAGACATCGTACAAGCAGCAGTACACAAATTGGTACAACCCGGGAAGCAACACCCTTATGGTACCAATTAATGTATAGGTTTTCGCGGTCGTGCTGTATAGTTCTCGGAAGAAACCAAAAAACACATCACAGATAACTTTTTATACGGATAATAAACAAAATGGCCTGGAGTTCCAAGGATTGTTACCTCCACTGTTATGACCTTTACAAAAAAAATCCACATTTTCACCACAGGCAGGTGGTGTCAAATTTCTGGCAACCGATATATCTGCTAAACCCACGGAAAAAGAAAGTGAGACAAAAGTGACAAGGAAAACAGACCAAGGTTCCGGCTTTTCACTCCATGGATGGAGTGAGGCGCTGTAAAAATCAGAAGTATAAAACGAGTGTAGAGTGAGGACGGTTTAAAGTGGGATGGTACATGGCGCACTAGCCAACGAAACACCAGCTCTACTCCCATACCAAGACAACCAGCCTGGAGTAATATCCCTATCCTTAATTATAACCAGACAAGCCAATCGGACAATAGCCCTACTTCTAACCACACGAGCACACTGAACGGTAGCCTCACCTTGAGGTAAAACAAGGAAAGCAGCCCCTTGCACTATCCCTATCCTCGATTATAACCAGACGAGTCAACCGAACAATAGCCCTCCCTACCTACCTCTAATTCTAACCTTAGTATTCTTGGTTCTTTCGGTAAAGTCACGTAGAAGGGAAACAATAAAATAATAAAAAAAATATAAGACATTGTTTTATATTTTTATTATTTTATCGTCTAAAAAAATAAGACAGTTTTATATTTTTATTATTTTATTGTTTCCCTTCTACGTGACTTTACCGAAAGAACCAAGAATATGAATCCCTGCAGTCACGAAAGCTTTAAATCAAAATCTAACTTTAGTGTTCTCCGGCTCCCTGTTCACTTCGTGTTCGCCCGTCACGTGCAGGTGCCGAGAGTGCGTGACAGGGGCCATGCACCTTGTGCAGGTCGCTGTTGGTGAGGGAGAAGGGCAGGTTGGACACGTAGACCGTGCTCCGGCTGGGAGCCAGACCCCCGCTCATGACGAACTCTTCACAGAAGCCTAGGATCAGCAGTGGGGGGGGGGGGGGGGGGGTGGAGGGGGTCAGCTGCACATTAATTGCAGCAAAACTCAACAAGCAACCTCACGGCTCTGAGCCACTATAAACGAAAGGCCCTTGAGACACAATTAACACTGAAACGCAGAGGCCACGGCTCAGATCAGTGTTCTTCATTGCAAGGTCCACGGGCCACTGGCAGCTCCTGGTGGCCTTTAGTGCGGCCCCCGACATTATACAAATGTGAAAACACTCCATCATCATGCTGTCAAACCCCCAATGGTTCCATTTGTACGGTGGTCCTAAAAACTGATGTCCTAAAAACTGATGTCTTATTGGCGAAAGTGCCCCCCTCCTCTGAAAATTGTTGAGGAACACTGGGTCAGAGCATAATTTGGTACCACATAAGGTAGCAAAACTTTAGTACCACCAAGTTAATTATTTCACAATCCACTCATTTAAAATGCGTATGACATAACGTACTATTGTTGACCACATATAAAATTTTGAATCACAACAGCTATGCCACATCAGGTGGTAACAACAAGTGAAATATCTAGTCCTGGCACGTGGACTAATACGTAGTTTTTATTTATACTTGTTTAATCTGGATAGCCTCACTCAAGGAGTCTCAAGGCCTAAGGGTCCTTTTAAGTTTTTGCAGTCGGGGGCAATGGTTGCTATGAATATTCCAAGTCAGTAATATGCAGGTAATCAGGTAATCTTTAAAAATCGGACCATGTTGCCGGCCCAAAACGGCCTAACTCCTGCGAACGAGGTCACAGAATTTTATTTAACGTGCCAGTGTGAAGCAGCATGTAGGAACGACAGTGGAACACAAAGATCTTGAGACACAACAGTGGAACACAAGGATCTTGAGACACAACAGTGGAACACAAGGGTCTTGAGACACAACAGTGGAACACAAGGATCTTGAGACACAACAGTGGAACATAAGGATCTTGAGACACCAGTGGAACACACACATCTTGAGACACAACAGTGGAACACAAGGATCTTGAGACACAACAGTGGAACACAAGGGTCTTGAGACACAACAGTGGAACACAAAGATCTTGAGACACAACAGTGGAACACAAGGATCTTGAGACACAACAGTGGAACACAAGGATCTTGAGACACAACAGTGGAACACAAGGATCTTGAGACACAACAGTGGAACAGAAACATCTTGAGACACAACACCGGAACACAAGGAACTTGAGACACAACAGTGGAACACAACGATCTTGAGACACAACAGTGGAACACAAGGGTCTTGAGACACAACAGTGGAACACAAACATCTTGAGACACAACAGTGGAACACAAGGATCTTGAGACACAACAGTGGAACACAAGGGTCTTGAGACACAACAGTGGAACACAAGGGTCTTGAGACACAACAGTGGAACACAAGGGTCTTGAGACACAACAGTGGAGCACAAGGGTCTTGAGACACAACAGTGGAGCACAAGGATCTTGAGACACAACAGTGGAACACAAGGGTCTTGAGACACAACAGTGGAACACAAGGATCTTGAGACACAACAGTGGAACACAAGGATCTTGAGACACAACAGTGGAACACAAGGGTCTTGAGACACAACAGCAGACCACAAGGATCTTGAGACACAACAGTGGAGCACAAGGATCTTGAGACACAACAGTGGAACACAAGGGTCTTGAGACACAACAGTGGAACACAAGGGTCTTGAGACACAACAGTGGAACACAAGGATCTTGAGACACACCAGTGGAACACAAGGATCTTGAGACACAACAGTGGAACACAAGGAGTTCTATTGCCGGTCACGGCCGCAACCACCAACAACCACCAACAACACCAGCGGCGATTATCTGAACTGGGGCCTCCTCCCCTAGGTCGACTCAGCCTCAAATGAATACCTGGCGCGCGGTGCGTAAAGATCGTCCCGAGGGAGACAAAGGCGGCCCCGAGGGTGGTGGTGGCCACCCACCCACCCACAACCTCGTGCGCCGTTCCGGCCTACCGCTCGCCAACACCACTTGCCCCCAGACACAAGTCTGTTAGAGCCTACGCGGGGTGGTAGTGGTGGTGGTGGTGCCGTGGTGGTGGTGGTGCCGTGGTGGTGGTGGAGTAGTGGTGGTGGTGGGGTAGTGGTGGTAGTGGGGTGGTGGCGGGGTAGTGGTAGTGCGGTGTGGTGGTGGTGCGGTGGTGGTGGTGGTGCGGTGGTGGTGGTGCGGTGGTGGTGGTGCGGTGGTGGTGGTGCGGTGGTGGTGGTGGGGGGACCCCGGGAGAAGGGACCCAGGGACCCTGTGTGGTCGGCAAACCTGCGGCTCTTTAAAGGACCGCTTCGTGACGTTCCTCACATGCACTGAACGCGGATCTTGTTTATTGTTGTTTATTGTTTATTGTTATTTTTGGTTGCAGACCCCTGGGCCTAGACGCAGGGGTTCCCCGTTCCAGTCCTCTCGGCCCACCACCACAACCACCGCGCCACGTCTTGCCGCGTTCAATGTACTTACTTCCTCAGCGTTCAACGCCGCACGCGCCCGATGATTGTTCAACGCGTCCCACGTGACGTCCCACGCGCTCAGCAGTGAAACCGTTCGCAGATATGAGGCCGATTCGAATAATAAACTGATGGGAGATATCATCGGTGTGCGTACACGTGCGTGTCCCGCATCACCACCACCACCACCCAGACCCCGGCTACGTCGACAGATTCCCGTGTCTCGGGTGCGGTGTTATTTGAGGAAGGTGTCGAGAGGTTTGTGAAGGACGGAGGGCGGGAGGAGCGACGCCGCTCACAACAACGAGCGGAGCGCGCCGGGCGTCGAAAGCGCAGCAAGTTGGCACAGTAGGGGGCGCGCTGGTGGTGCGTCGGCCACTCATCTCGAGCCAGTCGTCGACCCCGTGGCACCTGCTGGGTCCGCCCCCGTTACCTCCTGCCAGCGGGCGTTCGACACTTCACGTGGCACTTAACGTGCACCTAGCCTGGCACAAGCGCCGTGGCGACGTCCCCGCCACTTGGTGGCGAATGGCGGCGGCTGTTGGTGGTGGTGGTGGTCGGGTTTTTGTTGAAGTCGGATTACGTTCCAATGTCAAGTGACGTCATGTCACCTAAATGATGTAACGTTCGATGACGTCACCCACAGCTCGCGACACACCAAAAACATCGGACGCCCGGTTACGTCCCGCCTGCTGTGACGTCACACGCCTTGCGGCGACGTGTGTGTGTGTGACGCAATACGCCGAGCTGCAGTCATGCCGAGAGCGTCCGGAACTACCGGGACGCCGTCGTGACGTCATACGCCTCGTGGCAACGCGTCGCGTGTGTGTGTGACGCAATACGCCGTGCCGCAGTCGTCATGCCGAGAGCGTCCGGAACCACCGGAACGCCGTCGTGACGTCATACGCCTCGTGACGACGCGTCGCGTGTGTGTGTGTGACGCAATACGCCGAGCCGCAATCGTCATGCCGAGAGCGTCCGGAACCACCGGAACGCCGTCGTGACGTCATACGCCGGAGTTGACGAATGACGTCGCGTCGGGCGTCACGTGCCACCCCCCCCCACCCCGCGAGGTCCTTAGGCTTCTGTGAGGGGGTGGCTCGTGGAGGCAGACGAAGGCAGCGGCGGCGGCGGCGGCAGCGGCAGGCAGCTCGGCTCCGTAAGGAAACGTCTTTTGAGCCTAGGGCGGGGGACCCCCTTCTAGCAGCAGGCCTGTCTCTGCACGGCGTTATCAGCTGACCTTACTAGGGTAAGGCGCGCGTGTACGTGTGTGTACTTGTGTGTACGTGTGTGTACTTTACATCCTCAGCTGCCCTGGTAATGTTTGTGATTGTTGTACCCTGCCTTCGCCGTGTGATGTCGCGTATTGATGTGCGCGTGTAATGTAGATGACATCGCGTATAAGACACAACGAGTCAACGTGAGTGAGCATTGATGCATATTGTTGCTCAAACTCCTGTTGCCAGCCCTGAAGAGCCAGTGGTGGAAATTCCACATTCCTATGACGGGGGCGAACTTAACCAACTGCTGTTCAACTTCCCCCCCACAGGACAGTAATTGGGATGAACCTCATTGCATATTCGCGGGGTGTATCATTACAGAAGGGCGCGTGAAGTCGTAGGCACGCACGTACGATATAATTCGTCATGTCAGCAGCAACCATTGTCAGTCCTACTGCTTGTGGTGAAGGTCTCCCCCAGCAGCTGTTAAGGGTTCCAGGCGCACAAACTTAGCACGGACGTCGCGCGTGCACGTACCAGCGGCTGGTGTCGCGCACGTGCGTCAGTGTTTGTAGACGGTTTACTGCACAAGGGGAGGGGGATTTAAAAGAAAATGTTTTAATATTTTCCGGAGTTCAGCCCCGGGACAAACTCGGGCTGAAATTTTTTTTTTTTACACTTCACAAAGCGACCCGTGACGAGGAGGAAGTCCAACGTGGCCTTGACAGTCGCCGGCAGCGTTGGTCACGTGGGCAGTCACGCGCCGCACAAAGTCACGTGACCGAGTGTGTGTGTGATGCGCGTCACGAACAACAACAACACGTGCAAGCAAGCTGGTGCTGCGCGTCTGGATGAAACCTGTAGAGGAGGTTTACTTGAAAAAAAACACGCACACAATTTTCCATACAGTGTCAACGCATGCGGTTTAACGCCGTATTATTGTAACAGGGAAATTGAGTTTTCAGGTCCATACGGCGTATAGCCGTTTCAATACGGACAAGCAAAAAATTGTTTCGTCTATGACTCTGTGTTTTGTGTTTCTCCCTTGTGATGGGACTTTGAAGGATGAACGTTCATATTTTTAAGGGCACGGGGAGACGACTTATGTCTGAATTGGTCTGTAATAAGGTAGGCACTGGTATGGATTTCTGAACATGCCCAGAACGTCAAACGGCCAGCAACAAGCAGCACAATCAAAGTTGTAACGGATAAAGGGTAAACACGTTTCCTGATTTAGCAGGCGTTTTGTTTTTACCGTCGCAAAATAAGAAAAAAATCATGTGGTTTAATGAACATGTTCCTTCCAATCAGCTCAGGTAGAAGGTGGATTAGTAACAAAGCCAGGATCGTGATTTGAGAGATGAGAGAGCGGTTTATGGAGGACTTCATCAGTGGATTGACCATATTCGATGATGATTCGTTGAATAAGCTCAACAAGCACGAACTTAAAAAATTTTTACTGGCAACCACTCTTTAGCTTTAATGTCACCCTGCACTAGCAGCGAATAGCTTGGTTCACTGATTATGGGAATAAAATCTGCTCAAGTGTATTGCAGGATACTTACAAAAAACAATGTAGACCTTTAGAATGACCCTGCCCCTATGAGTGAAACAATCAAACTGCAAGTCATACATTTTGGGGGCCCAAAAATGCGAAAATGTGAAAAGTTTTCTTTCAGATGTTTCCAGTTATGAATACAGACTGCATAAACTGCCTGAAAGTACGACACGTGTCTTTTGCTTTGCACAGGGCAAAGTGTCGCAGGGCCATGCCTTCTCACCAGGCTGTGAGAGACGCGCCAATCACGCAATTTATCAACTGCCTGCTTCTCAAAGACCACAAGCTGATAAGGTAAAGGCTGCCTTTGGGAAAATGTGTACGTACCTACACAGCCCGTACGCTTCGCTGCAAGAGCAGTTATTTTTTTGTTTGCGTCTTCCCTTGAAGTAGCGGTTCTCAACCCATGGGGCGTGTTCTCCAAATCCTTTCGAGGGAGGTGCAGGCTTCGGAATGGATGCCGTGCAGGGGAAATAATCAAAAAGGGTTCAAATAGCTGCCTGTAGGCTGATGGTACGTCACTACACCACATCTTACACTCAATCAAGATTGAGCTGCGTATGGAATTTATCAGAGCGACATTCTAAAACTTGTAGTCCTGTATGCAGAAGCTGTCACCATTCTTACATTATTAACCTATGATGGTTGCGCCATGAGTGTGGCTGGGGGAAGAGGAGGCATGGGAACCAGTGGTCTTGATTGAGGGGACTGCTGTACCAAATAGATTGAGAGCCACCGTGTTAATGGATCGTTATCCCAATGCATGTTGGGACGAACCACATACATTTCTCTTTGGTTCTTTCGGTAAAGTCACGTAGAAAGAAATTTAATTACATAATAATAGAATACGACGTTTTGATTGCAACACAACAAGCAACCATCATCAGGTACAAATGCATGAGAAAATAAACATAGTAAACATGGAAATATAATGCAATACAACACAGAGAGTCAGCCAACAAAACAATCAACACCCCACCTGGTTGATTACGTTCTTCCAAATATTGCTAAATTTGAGAGAGAGACAAAACATAGACACGGAGACACACAGACAGACACACAAGCAGAGAGAGACTCGCACATAGGCACACAGAAAAGTTAATTTCACATCCATTTCCTGTCCTTTTCCTCCTCCTCCTCCTCTGCCGGGCAGAGACGATCTGTGGGTGCGATCGGGACGGATCCTTGATCCTGAAAAACTTTTTTTCGATGAGAAGGTGCACGCTGACCGCAGGGTGGACTGCCACGGTCTCATCCTCGCTCCCGGCTTCATCGACGTTCAACTCAATGGTAATATGCTCACAGCTCTATCGGTTACGATTAAGTGCTCGTTTCATTAATTTTGCGGTTCGTGTATTTTAACAGAGGTCGGTACGGTTTTACAATAACGTATAAGCATCTGAAGCTTATGCGCTGCTGTGTGTTGTGAGCACATGTCTGTGCCTGTGTGTATTTTCTATTGAACTGGTAAATGTTGTCCTTATCAGGTACCCACTAACAGTACATTACCCATCGGTGTGTTTAGGCTATATGGGGGATCTTGTTTTTGTGTCTGCAGGGGGCTACGGAGTGGACTTTTCGTCTGGTGGATCAGGGCTACAGGAAGGGCTATCTCTGGTTGCTCAGAAGCTGCTGACTCATGGTGTCACCTCCTTCTGCCCAACGCTCATCACCTCCCCTCCGCAGCTCTACCATGAGGTGCCGTACGTGTGTCGTGTTCGTTCGTACTAGGGTGGGTGTCTGCGCGTATCGATGAATAACAACAGTGTACACTTAAGTGTACATGTGGGAGTGTGTGTGTCTGTGAGATGATCTGTCCAGTGACTATTTGCCTATCATCTGTAACATGTGCCTTCTGTTCATCATTGTGGGACTGAGCATCCACCTAAGACCCCATTCAAACCTACTGTAGCCTTGTCTCAGCCTGCTGTTGAAAGTTGCAAGTGAGAATTTGATCAGCATTTTTATCTGAAAATTGGCATTTTTTCCCCTCTGCTGATGCTGAGGAGAAATGCTTGAGGTTCACGAGTGTTGGTTATGGAACTGCTAAGGCAGTGCTGGGTATCCAGACCAGAAACTGTGGCTGATGGAGGTGTTCCATCAGAACAAAACACTTGCCTGGGTATTTTATCTCATCAAACACTCCTGCCCTTCAACTCTTCCTCAGTAATGGGGTGGTTGTAGAGAGGGTGGAGGGGTTCCGATACGTGTCCAATAAGCTCATGACCAGCTCCGGTCTGGAGGTGGAGGTCTCTGATTCAGTTGAGTGGCATTATCTTCTCATCGGTTGCATAAATAACACTTTCTGGAAGGTTCAAACCACTTGATCCACATGAAGCTCTGGGTCTTCTTGGCCACCATAATGCCCTATTTATATCCAAAAAAATGTGTACCCTTTTACAGGAATTAACGGACAAAGCCTGACATATTTGTTCTGGTTTGCATGTGATCCATTTCGGGTGGAACTAAATTGAACAGTGTGTGGAGTTCACAGGTCCTCTAAAAATATATGGACTTTATTCCATCAGTGATCTCCTTGGCAGGAGACTATGCATTGGCTGGGTCATGTAACCCGGATGCCCAGCCACCGTATAAAAAAAGCAGCATCTGTTTGGCTGAATAAGGGGGGGATAAATGGGTGCAACATAGGCTAGAGAGGCGATGGGCTCACGTGGTGCAGGAGGATCTCGAGAGTTGAGTAGGCTTGCTGACAACTGGTACCAGCAGTGTCAAGGTGATTGGCCTCTGTGGAGGAGCCTTGTGATAGTTGCTCCTGGGCAGTTGGTCGATAGTCACCCTCCATCAACATTGTTAGGTAGATGAGCGACACAATAACGAGTAGAGCTTTGGGCAGATTAAACACAGCAAGTTGGCACAGTGGGGAGCACAGAGGGTGCATCTACCATTCATCTTGGTAAACCCACAACACCCGAACCTGTACCTTGAAAGCAAACCTTTGTCAAGTCAAGTGTCTTCAACGTGCACCTATGTATGTATGTTGAACTTCTTTCGCATCGTACGTAGCCAACCGTGCTCGTGCATAGCCTGGCACGAACACCATGGCGACATCACCGCCACTATTGGTGATTGACGATTGCTGCTGCTGCTGCTACCGTTGTTTGTGAGCGAGCAGGTGCTACCCAAGCTTCCACGCACGGAGGGAGGCCCCCACGGAGCCGGCACGCTCGGTGCGTCTGCGTCCCTCAATCAGTGACGTTTTGCACTTCAATACATTCACGCCGTTGGCTCCGCAGTGTCATGGTCAGCACACCTGAACTTGCAATGCAGAGGTCGCCGGGAGATTGGTTTGATCTGCCAGCGCCGGCAATTGAAACAATGGTGCAACGTTTCTCAATTCCTTAAATGCCCCCCGCCGTGCTAAGGTCGCCCCCAGCCCTGCCATTGTTCTGCTGCTGTCCTCTTTCTCCTCTGGTCGTGCGGGCAGTGTTCATCTAATTTGTGATGAAAACACTTTGACGAAGAGCAGGCGAAACGTTTGCTTTACTCGACTAGTCCAAGAGAATCACTGCATTAAATCCACAGACTTTGACTTGGTTAACGTTCCACTGGCCGTCGACAACTAGACTAGGACTTCGGCCAGATGCCACAGCGGTAAAGCGAGCGGCTCGCAATCAGACCATTGCGACTTCAACTCCTCTGTCTGGGGGTTAACTCGGCCAATCATCCCTCCAGGGTCAATAAAATATGTACCACTGTGGAGAAATCAACAGTGGTGATCTTTTCAATAGACTCATACCTGCCATGGTATTGAGGAATTCCCACCACTGGCTTAGGGCTCTAACGAGGAAATGAGCACTGCCTCAATGCCCCTTCGAGCAAGGAATCACTGCAGTGGTTTACACACTTGCGCTCTGAGCCCTTCGAACATCAGCGGCAAACTAAATCTGAATTCGCCTTGCGGCCTTCTCTTCACCCAATCGCACCGAGCAGTGTGGCGAAGTACGGGGGGGGGGGGGGGTGCCCTTACCCGTCAGCGGATTGGGAAAGTGCCCCGAATCGCACGGTCTAAGCAAAACTGGCTCGGACCACACCTGAATTACCGCCACGCCTGCTTCGCGCACGCAGGCGTGCACCTGGAGGGCCCGTTCATCAGCCTGGAGAAGAAGGGCGCGCACCCCGAGCTCTTGCTGCGCAGCTTCGAGCGTCGCGGCATGGAGGACGTGGCGGACATGTACGGGGACCTGGCGAACGTGGCGCTCGTCACACTCGCGCCCGAGATGCCACGCAGCAGAGAGGTCACGCGGGAGCTGACACGCCGCGGGGTCCGCGTCTCCCTGGGTGCGACGTGCCGTCACCCCTCGCAGAGAGACACCCATTGTGCTGCTTACTGTGGAGGCGACACACACGATATAAAAACAAAGACATCACTCCATAGAGACGATGAGAATTTTAATGCATGGAGTGCTTGCTTGACCCTATCCCGTTCCGAGATGTCTGCAAAGTTGCAGGGTGGGTCCCGTTCGCCACTGAATCTCGGAACGCACAAGCGGTTCAGCGTTGATTTTATTTAGGTGTAGCGCCACTGTTTTTGTATAGACATTGTACTCACCGCAGAGAACTGTAGCGACACAACCGCACTCTATGATGGCTGGCGCCAAATTGCCACGCCCTCCAGCACTATCATGCATGAATAACACATAACCCCGCTCAAGTTGCGTATGTATGTATGTTGAATTTCTTTCGCACCGTACGTAGCCAACCGTGCTAATCGGAGGTGCGTAGCGGCAAGGCCACCAACTGGTGAGTGGTGGTCGCTGTGCCGGGCACTCGTGTCCCTCCCTGCTGACACCAGGTGATTCCGTCTTTCCCCTAGGGCACTCCACTGCCAACCTATGCCAGGCCGAAGCGGTGGTGGAGGAAGGTGCTTGCTTCATCACGCACCTCTTCAACGCCATGGTGCCGGTGAGGCAGCGCATGCTGCGGCGACGGCTGTCCCCTGCTGCCCTGTGTGACGACCGTTTACCCGCGTTCACCGTGATTAAGGCTACAATGTTAGCACGGTAGTGAAGGTGCGGCCTTGAAATTGCTTGTTCATACCAAAGCACCTGATCTATTGCGTTTTACTTCCATTTTTAAGATTTAAAGACTTCAAATTCATGGTCTCCGTGAGCTCCGTGCCAAACTCGTAGCCTCAACCGTTAATGACGCATGCAAGTGCCGTGAAGGCGGCGAGGCGGCTGAGTGCATCGTCGCTGCTCTGCGCAGTTCCACCACCGCGACCCGGGCATCGTGGGGCTGCTGACGAGCGACCGCGTGCCGCCCGGGCGAAGAGTCTTCTACGGCATGATCGCCGACGGCATCCACACGAACCCGGCCGCGCTGCGCATCGCCCATCGAGCACACCCAGCCGGTACTGCCCTCGCCGGACCACACCTAGCCAGTACCCTTCTCTATACCACACCCGGCCGATAGCCGATACCTACACTTTACACCACATCAAACATAGCAAGTACTCCCTCTCTATAACACCACATCTAGCCATTGTAGTGCATGTGTGTGTGCGCAGGCCTCGTGCTGGTCACCGATGCCATCATGGCGATGGGTCTCCCCGAGGGGCGGCACCACCTGGGCCAGCAGACCATCGAGATCGAGGGCCTGCACGCCTACGTGGCCGGTAGCGCCCGCACCTCCTCCACGCGTCTTTCCGTCGCCGGGCGTTTAAAACCCCCTCCTCTTGCGGCGCAAGTCTGCGCGCACGTGAACCTACGTCTGTGAACGCTCGTGCGTGCGTGCGTGCGTGCGAACGCGTGGTTGCGCGTGTGAGCAGGCACCAAGACCCTGAGCGGCAGCATCGCCACGATGGACATGTGCGTGCGTCACCTCCGGCAGGCGTCAGGTGACGAGCGGCGGACCCCCTGCAATGCGAGACGCCACGCGCACCCCCACTGAACCGGCGTTGCGCCTCTTCACCCGCAAATACCTCTTTTTCCACTGCATTGGAGAGCAGCCGATCCATGCTGGGGCCCGCACAGAGCCAGACTGGCAATAAATAATCTATCTTGCCGAAGAAGGGCCATTGGCCGAAACATCACCTTTTATGTACATATTTTCATTTTAGGGCAGTGCCATTGAGAAACGCGTTGAGTAGTCCGTTGATGAGAGAGAATTCCCGAGCAAGTGCTGACGTGTGTGTGTGTGTGTGCCCACGTGCGCGTGTCCAGGGTGCTCCGTGGAGTGTGCCCTTGAGGCTGCCTCCCTTCACCCGGCCCAGATGCTGGGTATCAGCGATCGCAAGGGCACCCTCGACTACGGCACGGACGCAGGTAAACGCGTCCGTGTGTGTGTGTCGGTGTGTCGCCAACCTCCCCCAAATCGTTCTCACGGGGAACTCATGGAAGCATGCAGCTTGCTCTTAACTGAATGGAAAGAAATACGGAGCACTGCATTTACTAACTCACATGAACTGAAATCACAAAATACTTCGAAGACAACCAATAACATTGTGTATTCTCTGTTGGGATTACGCGTGGTAATATAACTCCCTACTCCGAAAACTTGGTAGGACCCTCTTGAAAATGAGTCTTGATACTTTCGTGGGTGAACAAACTGAATAATAATCATATCACTGGAGTGTATAAAACTAACGCATGGTACCAGCTCGTATGTAATGACATCATCGTATCGATTTTAAAAAGGAGGCTGTTGCGGGCCAGCACCCAAATTTAAATTACGACCTTTCTCTCAATCCCAAAAGCAGGAAATCGACGTCTCGTCCGCAATGCTTGTTCCCCCCCCGTCTAGATTTTGTGCTCGTCAGCCAGAGCCTGGAGGTGTGCGCCACCTACATAAGGGGCGAGCGCGTGTGGGTGGCACCGGCTCCGGGAGCCAGCAATCACGCGTGATGGAGCCAGCAATCACGCGTGATTGTGATGGAGCCAGCAATCACGCGTGATTGTGATGGAGCCAGCAACCACGCGTGATGGGGCCAGCAACCACGCGTGATGGAGCCAGCAACCACGTGTGATGGGGCCAGCAACCACGCGTGATGGGGCCAGCAACCACGCGTGATGGAGCCAGCAACCACGCGTGATGGGGCCACGCGGGAGGCCGGCGCCTTCTCCCGCGTGCCATCCGGCTCGCCTTCGTCGTTTACGATGACCGCAGAACTCTTCCGGCACCGCGTTCGCGTCGTACTTTTGCCCTTGCTGTTCGGCACAACGTGCTTACATTTCGCTCCACGCGCTGGTGGAGTCTCCCCCCCCCCCCCCCCCCCCCCCAGCATGCCGCGGGATGACCCAAAAGCGGCGATAGCGCAAACGCGAAAACAAAATGCAGTACTTGTGTGCATGTGTCCATTACTCGCGCACTTTACATTCCCAGCTTATGAGCAAATAACTCAAGATGTGTGGCGCGATCCTGCCAGATCTAGCACGTTAAACAGGGTTCACCTGAATAATTCTCAGACGACCACCGTGTACAGAATACAGGTGTGGTCATAGGAGGTGCTGTGGGGGCAAGTAAAGAGCAGTGCAGCAAGCTTCATTGTTTTTCTGCACTCCCCCCCCCCGCACCCCACCTTAACCAGTATGCACTGACCAGCATAGTGATTTATGGTCAAAATTCCCTTCACGGTTACACAAGACACGAGGAGGCCCTCATCCAGCAGTGCATTGACAAACGGGCTGCGTATGTGCACGTACATTCCCTCCAATGCTCCGTTATTCTCATCGCTCGGATCCTACGTTTGTATTCTTCGTGTTTGTCGTTATCATCGCAGTCACATGCTGGGTCTTGAATCAAGGCACGCGCCAGACACGAACTGAGAGCAGCCGTTTGTGAAAACACGCACAAGGCCTCGGAGAGGGAGGATCCACTGAGCTTCAGTGGCCACGGTGGTGGCGCATGCCTGTGATCCAGCACTTTGGCGGAAAGGGTTGGTCCATCACGCAACTTTATAAAACTCCCAAACCCCCTGGGCTGCAAGATGGAATCTTATATCCTTCTGTGTCGGGCTTTGAGTGTTATAGCCCCCTTTATGTGTGGTGGGTTTTCTTTGGGTAATCTTTTTTCTCCCATGAATCCAAAAACGCAATCATGGATTTGGCCAAGTGGGGGGGGGCCCTCTTTTGAATAGTCTTGGGAATCTTGTAAGGATTTCCTGTATAAATATTTGATTAATGCCACAGGTGCTTTGATCATATGCACTGGGCAGGCAGGACCTCAGTGTTGTACTGTGAAATGTTTAATTTCATGTGCCACTTCCTACAACCCTTTCGACCAGTGGCTCTCCACATTGTAGGTATGTCGACCTAGTTGAGACCACTGGTCCCCGTGTCCTCTTCCCAGAGGTTACCAAGGCAACAAAGTCACATGCCCACACCTCTGGTCAACACGGTGGTAGTAAGGCACTTTAACACGTAGGCTTTCGCGACCAATAAGGCACTTGTAAGACACTTGCTTCATGTTGCGTATTTTACGATTCGTCACCGCAACGTGGGGCCGACGTTTCCCCACGCACGTTCAGAATTTCTCCTGCACGGTGTTTATGCCGCAGCCTGAGCGCATCTTGGAGTGGGGGCAGGTGGTGAGGGAGGCCAAGCTCGGAACACTGCCAAGGCTCCTGGCGAGCATCCCTCAGGCTGTTTCCCACGGGACCCCCCCCCCCCTCTCCATCCTGGTGGCCACCAACCTACCCCACGCAAATCCTCAGCTAACTGATTAGTTCAGGTGATATTGCAGTGTGTGACTACACACTGCAGTGTGTGACTACACACTGCAGTGCAGTGTGTGACTACACACTGCAGTGCAGTGTGTGACTACACACTGCAGTGCAGTGTGTGACTACACACTGCAGTGCAGTGTGTGACTACACACTGCAGTGCAGTGTGTGACTATGTGACTACACACTGCAGTGTGTGACTATGTGACTACACACTGCAGTGTGTGACTACACACTGCAATATCAAATCTCTCGCTCAATTGAGCTACGTGTATGTACACTGTGAGAGTAGTCTATTCGTTAACGATAAACTTGCAGATCATTGTTTTTTTTTTAAAAACCCCATCAGTTTGCACTACCGAGTGATGGAAATGCTGTATTTGTTCAAAATGCTGTATTTGAAATGCTGTATTTGTTCAAAATGCTGTATTTGTTCAAAATGCTGTATTTGTTCAAAATGCTGTATTTGTTCAAAATGCTGTATTTGTTCAAAATGCTGTATTTGTTCAAAATGCTGTATTTGTTCAAAATGCTGTATTTGTTCAAATACAGCATTTCCAGACCGTGGCTCATGGGAAATTCAAATGCGGATTAATGGAGATACGAATCATTTGGTGATGCTGCTGCTGCTGCAAGGGCAGTGGTGCTAAAGAGCAAATAACCAAAAAAATTCCCAACAAATTCGTCAGCAACACTGCCGTAAAAGTAAAATATATTACAGGTGACGTTTCGGGCAATGGCCCTTCTTCAGAAGTTCTGTTTTGATGTGTTTATGAAGAAGAGCCATTGCCCGAAATGTCACCTGTTATATTTTTCCTTTTCGGATAGAGACGCAGATAGGTTTTTTTTTTTCAATAGAGGTTTAGTTGAACCAGGAATAAAAAAAAAAAGATCTGCTGGTGTATTGGGGCACTCCTGGAAGCGGAGCCAGACAATGAGCACTCCCAGGGCACCACTGCAGATTTCTAAATTTCAAACTCCACAGAACAACCAGCGGAAGCGATCCGTGTGCGGCGCCTTGTAGCTCTCGGCCACGTGGAGATCTTGGCTTGCGGCTCTCTTCCCAGAGTCGGGAAGTTTGGCCACCCCCTCGTATGTCCTGTGGTGAAAGGTGCCTTAGATGCAACTCAATCGTGGATTGCGTCGCTGGAGGTGAAGACATTCGTTGATTGAGAAGTTTTCAATAAAACAGACGTGAATTCCGCCACCGCTTCGCAGTGTCTTTCATCGGAGTGTATCGACGCATTGATCCGTATCAAACTGAACAAAATCTGTTTATATTTTTACTAGGTAAGGCCCACTGAGCTATATACACTACAGTATATCTTTCAGAAGCGACCTGGCCACATGATAGCCGAATTAAGTGGTTTATGTGTAAAATCCTAGCAGCCAAATACTCTTAAACACGTTTCTAAATGTGGAGGGAAACCCCGTGTCATTGTCCAAGCTCGCAATAGAATCGTGCCCGTGAGAAATCAACAATCCATGCGTCTATAATTCGTGTGGGTACATTGCTGAAAGAAGCTGCGCTTATAAACCTGACGACCTGAGTTTGACTCCCGGCCAGGGCTAATAACTGAAACCGGGGCCTGCTCCATCTCCACAGCCCTCTCCAGCGTGAAGTATGGTCAAACAACCCACGTAACCGGCACAACGTGGGGTAGCCTTCATACTTTCGTGGATTAACAAAGCACTGGACACCCACGTCTATTATATGCAAAGAGTTCAAACGTGTTCTCTCCGATCACCGGAGGCCGCTACATTTACCACGGTTAATAGTGCAGCACTATTATTATTACATCTCTAGAAGCAGCTGAACGGCTAAATCAATTCTAACTGAAAATCTTAACGGCGGCTCTTCGTTTGGCCACGACAGAATGGAACGTGATGTTCATTCGCAAAGGGGCCGTCCATAAATGACGTCACGCGATTTTTGACCCCCCCCCCCCCCACACTCGTCACAAAAAGCCAGACGCCCCCTCAAATATGACGTCACAAAGCTCTGCCCCCCCCAAAACCATATTTGCATTTTGAAAATAAAACATGCTTCAAATAGCTTTAAACTATTGTCATTGTAGTGCGTATTTAATGTGGCGCTGCACTCTGATGTTGTAGGAGAAAACATTTATTAAAAAGTATATTTAAGTAGAACGTGTTGTCTATATTTAAAGTTGCGTATTTTGATGTGACGTCACATTTAACAAACCCCTCCCCCCCCCCCTCGTCACACATCGTCACAAATGTCTGACCCCCCCCGGTGGGTGACGTCATTTATGGGCGGCCCCAAAGCCTAACGACCATGGCCCCCTAATCCCGAACAAACCCAGCTCATGACCCCTAACCTTAAATGACCCCTAACTCCGAGTCCTGATTATATGTACTGTATACTGAACTTATTTTACACGGTACGTGCAAATCGGATTCGGTTTTTAGCCAACCGTGCTAAAACCGAATCCTCTTTACATTGAATCCCTACACCCAGACTCCCGCTCACTCTGGTTGCTCTGGTTCTCGGCTGGTTCTACAAAACAAACTCTGAAAGCTTAAAACTCATCCCGACCCAAAAACCACGACGAACCCAACTCCTAACCTTGACCCGCCCCCCACTGCCCCCCCACTGCCCCCCCCCCACTGCCCAAGCTTTAATCGTGACTCTGGACCAGGGGGACACGGGGTACGATTGTTCGAGAGTCATTGAATAACCACAGCAGCCTCCTGTCCCGAGACCGGCGGCCACGTTCAAAAGCCACGTTCAAAAGTCGTGCCCAAAGAACAATGACGTCGTGCAGAAAGAACAATGACCTCATGCCCAAGGATCAATGACGTCATTTTCAAAGAGACATTACGTCATGCTACAACGCAATGACGCAAACCCCACAACATGTGACTCCCCAACAACGATGATGGGCACGAGAGGGGTCCCGGACTGCGTACAGCTCCCCCCCCCCCCCGGGGGACCCCCACAGAGGGGTGGGGGGGGAGGTACCCCACCCCGCTGTTGGGGTTACCCCCCTCCCCCCCCGTGTCGGGGGGTGCCCCCACCACACAGCGGGGTGGGGGGGTACCCCACACAGCTGTTGGGGTTACCCCCCTCCCCCCCCCTGTGTCGGGGGGTGCCCCCACCACACAGCGAGGTGGGGGGGGAGGTACCCCACACAGCTGTTGGGGGTACCCCCCTCCCCCCCCTGTGTCGGGGGGTGCCCCCCCCCCCCCCACAGCGGGGTGGGGGGGGGGTACCCCACACAGCTGTTGGGGTTACCCCCCTCCCCCCACAGCGAGGTGGGGGGGGTTGCCCAGCTGGGCACCCCACAGCTGGGCAACCCCCCTCCCCCCGTTCGTCGGAACTTCGACTCGCCGCGACTCGATCCGAATCGAATCGATTCCGGAGTTCTCCGCCGCAGTTTGAGTGCGCGCCCTTGACCGCGCGGGTCGATTCCTACCCCCTGCACACCGATTCCGTTATCGAACCGATTACAAATCGGTGGGCGATCGAAGATTAAACAATCGACCCCCTTTTGTCGTCGTCTTCCCCCGGTCCCCCCGCAGCCCTCTTGGGGGGGGGGGGGGTTGGTACAACGTCCGGACGTGGATTAAATCTTTACACGAGTCGCAAATAGGACATTGACGGAAGCAAACTCACGATTCGTAAGACAGCGAACGCCACGAACGATGTCGATTAATCGCTCGGCACCACACGGGCTGTTACCGTATTACCCCACGAGCGCGCGTTTCGCGTGTATTTTAAAGCAAAGAGTTGCGGGAAATCGTCTTGTCGTCCGGTCGATTTGTTTATACCTGTGTGCAATCAGAGTTGTAGGGCTTTAATTGGCGACCGCGCGCCAGTGTGTGGTGCGTCTTACTTTAATTGCGGGTCTCACTATCTGGAGATTACGGTAAAGAATCTCCGGCACGGCCCAATCGAGTGAGTTGACGATTACGATTAACCACCGGTCGATTCTTCGTCTCGATTGTTGTTGTTTGTTGACGTTGTTGTCGTCGTTGGCGATTTCTCGCCGCCGCTCGTCTCCGTTCGTCGTCCCAATTTGATTTTTTTAAAAACCGACAGCGAACGAACGAGAGACAACTCTCAAACGAGAGAGCGCACCCGTCGATTCGACGTAACACTCCGCGTGTTGGAGTTTATTCGACGGATCGATCCACCGCGTGTGTCCTTTAAGCGGCGGCGCTTTTTGACTTTAGCGCCTCGCGGTTTCAGAGAGGTGGAAAGAAACGAAACAAGACCAGTGACCTCCTCAGCCGACAAATCTCTCTGGGTCATGGTGAGTCCGCCGCTTAACACGCGGGTTCTCCCTCCAGCCTCCTCCCCTCTCGAAGAGGGTGGTTCTCGGTCAAACACCCCCCCCACCCCCTCCTCGACTAGAACCCTCGCCGCTCTCCTCGTCCCCTGGGCGGTAGGACGGGGTTAGGCCGCGCGGGCCGCCGCACTTCGCGCCTTCGATGCGTGGTTACACAACTTTGAGGCATCTCACGCGGGGCGTGCTGTGGATGCATTAACGGGGAATAATTTTGAGCCCGCTCCTGGGCAAAACCTCGAGGTTGAGTCGGAAGCTCTGTCGTCCCGACAGGTCTGTACCTTTCACCTGAAGACGGCCGCTTGCGTTGTGGCCGAAACGTCGTGAGAATTTTATTGTGTTATTTTATTATTTTATTCTCATTCTACGTGACCTTACCGAAAGAACCAAAGAAGATGAATCATTGCAGTCACGAAAGCTTTAAATCGAAAAGTTGAGTCGGAACTTAAATGAGCGCCTCTTGCATTGTCGATAACCTCTGCACTTGGGCAGATAAAACAAAAATAAATCCCACCACAACTTCCCCTTGTGGGCCGTGGCGCCCTTAAGTGCTCGCTAAGAGTACTCGCCCCAAATAGTATTTGTAGGGTACAGGAGGAGGGGGGTGGGAGATCTTTCTGGAAGACTTAATTGAAAAGGGCATTTCGTGTGAATTATCTCTCGTCGTTAAGTAGATTGCCCTGCTGAGGGTTCGGTTTGATGCGGACTTTCACCCGTTTGGGATTGCGGGATCCAGATAAGGCGCTTCTATAAGAGAATGATGATTAATTCTCATTTACCGGGGAAGAGTAGCGCGGAATCTCAATGCACGTTTTCATGCGAGGTCTGCCGCATCGGGATGTTTGGCCAATTCTCTTGGATTCATGTGGGAGGAAATCAGAGATTCCCCCACCATGCATATGAAGAGATGACATTTATTGCTCCACTCGCAAGGATTCTACTGCCATCTCCTGGCCGTCTCCCGGCACAGACCAACGTCTGCTATTCCCAGGCAGCCCTCTCGTCCACTGATTAAAAGTAACCCGGAGCGTATATATGCTCTCTTGACGAGATCGGACACATTTAGCGTGATGTGGCTGTGGGCTTGCATTCCAGACGTTATGTTAAACTTCGCAACGAGCCACAAATAAAAAAGTGCCGTCGTCTAACTCTCTGGACTAGGATGCAGTCGTGTGATTTCTTACACAGATTCATCTCCATTATGATGCGTTAATGTTCAGGGCAGAACACACCACCTGCATGTGCAATACTATGTGTTATTAAACAAAGCACACTGACTGGCACGATCTAGACGGCATGGGAAGGGGGGGGGGGTGCTTCATCCAGCAGTAGATAGACTGATTGTGTCTACACACTACACTAATTTCGTCTAACCACAACTTTTCCGCCTGTGATATCCCATGCGGAGAATAATCCGTCTCGTGGAGTTTTTACTCAACAGAAATATGCTTAACAGTCACAGCTCACCCTCTGCTTTGTGTGCTCGCACAGGCTCGTTACCTGGCTCAGATCGTCATGCTGGGCGCTCAGGTGGTTGGCAAAGCGTTCTCACGGGCCGTGCGCCAGGAATTTGCAGGTAGTAATAAAGTAATTTACAGCGTGTTCTTGAAATAACCTGGGTGGATATATCATGTGTTATATATAGAATAGATGTGTTTTTTTAGGTGGGGTGGGGGGGTAGCAGGGTGGTGACCCTTAAAACATAAAAGTTTGAAATAATTTAAAATCGCACTCAACACTGAACAGTGCGCAAGCAAAGCTAATTTCTTGTTAGCTGGGGAGAAACGTCACGTGCCAGCCAGTACCAGCTTAGGCACTATACAGAAAGGTAACTAATGTGGCATTGGGTTGTGCGTTTCCGAATTGGCTTGTGTTGTTCAGTGGTGTCTTTGCTCATTTCTCTCGACAGCTCTTGAGCCAGGGGTAGAAATTCCGCACACTCGTGGTGGCTGCTTGATACCCCCCCCCCCCCGCCGAGCCAGATTCGGATGTCTGGCTCGGCACGCCAAATAGGCAGTGGAAAACCACCCGTATACCCCGAGGACCCCTGCGCTGGCTCGGTTCGGATGTAGCAATGTAAAAGATGTATGGAGAGAGCAGGCGCGAGTGTGGGCTTGCGGTGACGAGGGGCATGCGTGGCTCAGCGAGCAGGGCAGCAGCAGAGGCGCGCGGCCGTGCTGGAAGGCAGTCGGCCGTCGCCAGCGGCATGACCGGTCTGGGCCTGCAGGAGGCCAAGGACATCCTGAACGTGAGCAAGTTGGATGCCGCTGAGATACAGAAGGTACAGGCTGACTCAGCCGGCTAGAGTCACTAATGTGGACACCTTATGAATGTAACTATTTTTATTTCACCAGTTAATGCCCACTGAGCTCTATATTTCCTTTTCAGAAGTAACCTGGCCACAAATAATAGCACAACAAAGTGGCTTATGTGGAAATGTATTGCAGCCAAACACTGGAATCCCGCACTTTACATAATGCATGCGTACCTGAGAAATTCTACAAAACAGGTGTTAAGATGTTAAAACACCAAACTGAAACTTTTTACAAGGAATGCATTAACCACAATACTTGTAGTCAGAATGCAAAAAAAAACACACACTGATAATATATGCATTGTCCTTGAAACTGATTGCTCCACACCAGAGACAGCTTTCTTTTGAGCCTCGTCTCAAAACGGTGTTAGAGCAGAGGATGCCAAAAGGCGAACAGCCCAAAGACAATGCCACTATCAGAGTAATGAGAGCTCGGGGTGAGCAGCTACAGCATGGGACCTCCTTCACCAGTACCAAAATATGATAATAGGTTTTCCCCTTTTTTCTACTTAATGTAAACTTTTAACATAGACATGTTAAAATCAGGTACTGCATTCCTAGCTGGCATTTCTGGGGGAAAAAAAATCCGTGACTAAATGTCATGAAGTGTACAAAATGCATGTGATCTTAAGTTGACATACATTTAACGAATAATGAATGCAAATAATTCGATAAAACGTACGAGAGGTGTTTGAAGAGCTTGCTGATTGAGGCCTTTTGGGGTGAGCAGTGGTGGAGTTATGCGGATGAAGGGGCATGATCTCACTCCTTTTCATCTGACGATGAAGCTGCAGCCACAGGACTGTTCACCAGAGGGAGCTGGCTTCCCTACTGGACTCTTCTCCAGCCCTTCTCCGGACCTTTTGGCTTAATTGCAGAACGTTCCGGGCAAAATCGACTGCCTTTTTACAAGCTTCAAAACACTTTACAACTTCGAATTTAACCCCTCGATTAATACTTTTGCCTTTTATTTCCAGAGGCGCTCATCATCATTTACTCTGCGTTTTGCACTCGTCTTTCTCAGCCCCCTATGCACTTCTTGTTTAACTATCATCTCACGCGATGCAGTATTTGTGCCTAACACGTGCGCGGCGATCAGACAAAATGGCGGGCTGGCAGATAGAGGCTGAACACGTGGCGGAGGGAATTTCGGCGGTACGCGCGCCGTGCGTGTACAGCACGGTATTACGTCGCAAAATAGTCCCGTGCTCACCTCCCGCGTTCATCGTTAAGAAATTGCGCCGACATTTTTGCGCAATCGTTTTCACATAACGCACGTGCAAAACATTACACTTACGTAGGTATTTCCTTCATGAATTGGCAACGTAATGTGTGGAACGATGCATGATGCGGTAACTTTAAGCGGCGGAGGGATTCCTTTAATAGGATCACTTTTTCGAGTGACTCTGGAGGGCCATTGCATGAAACATGAGCCTGTTATACACTTAGCTGTCACGGCAGGGTTAGCGATGAATGTGGTCAGTGTTAGTTCAATTTATGCTTTTTCGCCACTGCCACTGCAGTTTTATTCCTTTATCCACTTACAAATGTCTCTCTGTGAGGAGCGGTGACGGGTTCGTTAACGCACTGCGCTGAGAGACCAGATTTCGATTTGCGGTCCTGACTCACATCGGTGACTATCTCATATCTCCGTACCAGTCGTGGCTCCCTCCTCCATCACCACACTGCACTGACCAACAGGGTGAAGTATGGTTAAACAACTCCGATGCTCAAACAACCCAGATGGATTATATGCATGGATGTTGAACTTCTTTCGCACCGTACGTAGCCAACCGTGCTAATCGGAGGTGCGGGGAAGGACAACAAACTAAACACAAAAAGCAGTGTTAAATAAATTAATTTTTAAATGGCTGAAAAGAAGAGGCAGTCTTCCCTGAATCATCCAAACCCAATTCTTTTGATGTTGTGTATCTGCTCACACTGTTATAATGCATCCCGCCAACCATCGTCTCTCTTTGACAGAATTACGAGAACCTGTTTAAAATGAATGAAAAGGCTTCAGGAGGGTCCTTCTACCTGCAGTCTAAGGTACGAGTGGGTTTGGGTGCGATCGAGCCTTAAAACTGTGTTTTCATGCTGTGTGTGTTTGTTGTGGAGAGTTGCTCCGGTTTGACAGCATAGGTCTCACTCCGAATCAGCCTAGTGGCATCTTTTCATCGGCTACGTAACGCTGTGTGGAAGCTACCTGGTCTGTCGCTCCACACGAAGCGTCGGGTCTTCTTGGCCAGGGTCATGCCCTCCCTTCTCCGTGCTTGCAAAATGTGGACCCCCCCAATGGAACATCTTCGCCGGTTAGAAACATTTAGGCCGGCCTGCCCACGATCCATCCTGGCTTTATCCAGGCTGGATTGTGTGAGCTCAGAAATGCTCGAAAAATCTGGACAATGTCCCATCGGTGAGCTCCTCCGGCAGGCAAGGCTGCGTTGGCTGGGTCATGTAGCCCGCATGCCCAGCCACCGCATGCCTAAACAGCTTTTGTTCGGCGAGATAGTGGGAGCTGAACGGGCGTGGTATGGGCGAGAGAAGAGATGGAGTGATGTGGGTACAAGAGGATGTGGAGCTGAGTGGACTTACCGATGACCGGTACCAGCGGTGGTAAGATCGGCCTCTGTGGAGGAGGCTCGTGAAGGACGCTACTGGGCAGTTGGAGGCAGTCGCCCTCCAGCAACAATGGAGGGCAGAGGAGCGACGCTCACAATGAGTGCAGTGTCGGGTGCCTAAAACACAGCAAGTTGGCACAGTCGGGGGCACAGGTGGTGCATCGGCCAGTCATCTTAGTCAGTCGACCCATGGCACCTGGGTCTGTCCCATGACCTCCGGCCAGTGGGCGTTCGACGCCTTACGTGGTCTTAACGTGCACATAGCCTGGCACAAGCGCCATGGTGAAGTAACCGCCACTTAGTGGCGAATGCCGTTGTCGTCGTCGAGAGTGGTGGGTTAGTGGTTTAATGCCGTGTTACAACCACACTGCCGAAATGTCATTCACACGGCCAGTGTCTATGACCGAATCGGACACTACGCAGGTTTGAACCTAGGTAGCATTTGAATGGGTGGTCACCTTGTATGCCAGGTTGTCATAGGCAATTGTGGGGCTGTGCTACGCGGTGTCCGCTCGAAAACCACGCAGCATAATCATTTGTTGGATTATTTTTCATGCATTGTCTGTGCTCTTCGCCTTCACATACCCACACTGACCAGCATGGTAAAATATCCTCTCCGTCACCCACACTGGGTAGGGAGGCCCTCATCCAGCAGTAGATTGACGAAAGGGTCATATGTGTGCCACCACCAGTGGAAATTGATATCTGAACCTGGTTTGAACCTATCTTTGGTCAACTCAGCCTAAATTAAATGCTTTTGTCATGTGGTCCAAATCGGCACTGCAGGGATAAATGTGGCTGGCCATGGTTCTAGCCAAACACTGACTAAAAGGGAGATGTTCATGTTTGGGCAGGTGGTAAGGGCAAAGGAGCGTCTCGATGAGGAGCTCAAGATCCAGGAGATGGAAAATCAGCAGAAGACTTCGGAGACGGGAACCTAGCAGGACCTGATGACACCCATGTCTACAACATCACTGCAACAACCAGCCCTACAACAACAAAGCAATACCCATCGCTAAAACCAACACAGGAACAGAGTACCCTCACTGAATACACATCATTGTGCACCACACTGCATCACAGCACTAAAATACAGCTCTGGAACCCAGGGAAGGGCTTGGTACGTGACGGTTTTAGAATATATTTGTTATATATGTCATTCGCAGTGAACAATACTAGGAAAAAATAAATGTTTGACATAATAATAAAGTCAATATTTATGGTAAACTTTATCATGCCCATCCAGGATTTTTTTTAGTTGTACGATTTTGAATTACAACTATGTTATATAAATATGTAAGTAAATAAATAACATTTTATCTGAATGGAGATTTACAGCTAGCTGCTAAAGCCAATCAAAGAATGGAGCTTTCAGAATATTTTGGGTGTTCTCAGCATCCTTGGGAATGCAGCGGAAGAGCCCGAGCCAGCTTGTTTGATCAAGCAACCGAATATTTCGTGCGGACAGGCACTGACAACCAACGTGACAAGCCGGTCACAAGTGGTGAACCTCTTATGAGGTCAGCAGAGCGAATGTAAATGCGATTTTCCCCGTTAAGTGTTTACGAAATTCATGAGTGCCGCACGTGCCAGTTCCCCTTCCACCATTGGTTGGCCGGCGATGTCCGTACTTACTGCTGCACCCAGATTAGTGCAGCCTTCCATATCGTATGGAATATTTTCATGACCACTTACATCGCGATTAGGAATTAATTCGCCAACAAACAGTACGGGGATACTATAATGTAGGTATTTGCGGTTGTGGAGCCAGGATTTCAGGCCGGGGTGACATTCAACAAATTTTTATTTCAAGAATGATTAGAGAGGCTGTTGAACTAGACGCCATCGGTTGGCGACACACTCTGACAATGCAGTTACACGGAGTCCGCCAGACCGAGTGTCGTACACTTATACGCAGAATGGCACCCCTGTCACCGCCCCTGGGTATTTGCGGTTGCGCTGTGTTCTCCACAACGGACAGCTGTTAAGCCGCAATGATGACTGCACTGCCACCATCTTTGTATCTGGTGACGACTTAACTTTTCTATGTTATACCTGTGTTTGGAGTGCCATTTGAAATTAACACAAGATAGCTCTCAACCACGTAATCCCTCTCGAGACTTCCAAGTTACATGTGGTCGGATTGTCATGGGTTTGCTGTGGACCAGGCGGTTGGCTTGGCACTTGGGATGGACTGACAATTTCGTAGCAGATTCTTGGGTGGCTTTTTAAAAAAAAACTTTCTATAGTGTGGTTTCCAAAATTCCAGTCGTCTTGAGCCACTAGGTCCGTTATTTCCACATTTATCAACCGTTTTCAAATACAAATCCTCAACACACGCTCCATTTACCCAATGATTAATTAATATGGCCAACGTAACGGTACAACCTTTTGCAAATTCGCTGGATGCAGGATTCCCCTCCACGCCGGGTTGTTTACGTCGCCGAGATCGGAAGTACGAGTTGAAGTGAGGTGGTTCGGACCACTCACCACTGATGTTAGCCAAGGCCGGGAATTGAACTCATGGTGCAGGGTTCACTCAAAGCAGGGCGTTAGCCACTGCAACAGAGCTTGCGTCCCATAAGCTTATTCGATATATTCATTGAATCGGCACTCTTCGCGGCACACCAGACGCACAAACGAGATCTCCGTTGGTTGGAATAATTAATCAAGGTTACGTGGACAGGTGCTTACCGATCAGAGCACGTAACAGCAACATGGCAAATGTGGGATGACGGACCGTGGGAAGTTTGGATAGCCATCCTCTTGGGATCTCACAGGCTGCTATGGATGCGTTCATTGTTATCCGTGCTTAAGTTCACAGCTGTACACCCGTCTTGATACGTGTTGCTAAACACCGATTGTGAATGAATCCTTGTGTTAAAGTTCTGTACACATACAATAAATGATGCACTTCCGTGAAGCCCCATCATCACGACCCCTTGGCGTCGCTCCATCTCTCCTTGGGGATATCCCCTTCTCCTGGGTCGTCGAGATGTTTTGATTTGGTAACTTCATTTTCAATCAACTGAATCGTACTGCCATTCGTTACCTCTGCCTTTCATGAAAGATTGGGTTTAAAGCGACTCGAAGGATTCGCCTCAAATCAGGGACATCCAGTGCGAGATGTGGAGTGTGTGTAAAGGCACTTAGGAACGCCACATATACACAAGCGAGGTTGAATGTATCACGAGAAAAGTTAACGTCTCTCAATACCGGAAGAGCGAGAACTGCGTATGCACGCATTGTCTCGTGTGGTGTAATATTATGCTGCCGACAAACCCGGAGGGAATTTTTACAAATCTATATAAAAGGGAAATTTGTGAATGTGTCTTTTCGAAATGTTTAGCATACTTCCCGACATGCAACAAACTTGAAATTTGGCATGTGGGTAGCTTCCAGACTGTACACAATGCAAAAAGTATAAAAATAGACTTTTGTATTTTTTTTTTTGGGGGGGGGGGGGCGCAATAATGGATATATTTTGCACGGCAAGTGAGCGGTGACGGCACATCTGTGATGTCACCCGCATGCGGCAGCGTTACACAGGGTGCCTGCTGACGTCACGCACACCCACCCTCCGCGTAGGCCGTGTTTTAATCCAAGACAAGAATCCAAGTCTCGGGCGAAGCCGGGTAGTGACGCTAGTAGAATTGTAGAATTCACAGGGCTACCACCTTAAGGAGGACGATCCTGGGAAAACCAGAACAGGTGGCAATCTTCGGGTTTGGTGTGTCACTGTGATGTGGCCCCAACCGTGACCTAATGGATTCAACCCCCATGCTGTGTGTGTGTTGCTCTGGCCCCACGCCTCCTGAGTGCTCGATCGACCGTTGTGTCCGATTCGCGAAAAATGCGCCCGTCATGAGGTGTTTATTATGATCCGTGTCTGATAAGGGGGGGGTGGGGGGGACACATTTTCTCACCAACATTTTAATAGCAAACTTTTAAAGTGAATTCATATAACAATTTTTTTTTTATCACGCAATGCATGTTACACGGCCATGCCATGCCGCAATGCACGTGTCACGAGCGTTCCAATTTCTCGGAGGAAAACTCCGCCGTCGGCCTGTTACGATTATAAAACACGAGAGGAGGTGAAAGGGGGAAAAGCAAACGCAACGAGTAACAACGGACACAAAGGACGGATGCGTCAATAACAACAAAAGGCCAATGAGGAACACCGTCATGCAATAAGGCACTTGGAATTGTCACGAACAAAATGCAGTCAATTCGGAATGTGCGAAGCATTTCGGGGGGGAAAGGAATGAGTTGGCCAACTTTAGCACGGCGAGCATGGCGGTCTGGACGCGCGCGAGTCAGTCCACCAGGTGCGCCTTCGATTGTTTCTGGGGCACAGGGGGCAGCGCAGGGGGCATCGCACGCTGCGTATACGAGTATAGTACATGGGGCCATTTGCAGATATTTCACTTGTCGGTACAACCTGAAGGTGGCATCCCTTCAGCGGCTACAATTTATTAAATGTGACTGACAACACCGAATTATGTGCAAACCAATTTCAAATTGAGTGCATTATCGAATAATTCACTCGTATTAGCTAGACGCATGAATCGGGACTCCTAAAGTTGTGATACTTAAGGTGGTACCAATTTATGCTCTGGCCCATGGACTGATAAGACGCACGGCAGTTGTACATGTGTCAAAAAGTGTTTTTATCTTTCGAGCGTTGTGGGGATAAACCCACAAAAGCTTTCAAGCCCAACAGAGGGGTCGTATGTTTACAGCAACCTGATCCAGTCACCAATCTGGAAAAGGAGATAGTGACCTTTTTATATTTCATGGCAGCCCATAGCAAATTAACAAGAGGGCACTTTTTTACCCATTAAAGACTCAATATTTACTCAACAGAACACTCCAGTTGCAAGAAGATGGTCTTATAAATGAGTCACGAAACTCGGCGAGCCATTTACAACATTTCGCTGCATGTGCTGGGAGCCTCTTCAGGAACTAAATTTCATCAAAAAGCTCCAATCACGTGGAGTGAAAAGTCGAGCAGCACTGAACAACACGCGATACAGCAACAACAAAAAAACATCCGAGAGCTAACGACTTATTAATAAGTCTGGTGGTGATAGATTCAGGCAGATACACATTATTGACATGATCTTTGTTGGATTTGGAAGGTAGTGCGAGTCCACGCCCCCCCTCCAATGTAATGCTGTCCAAATAGTTCTCATTCAAATGAAGGCCACGGTGGCGAGATGTTAACTATCTCGCCTTGTATACAGGAGGTTGTGGGTTCGATCCAAACCCTGATGCCTGTATGTTTGGAGTTTGCGTGTCTCTCTCCCCGTGGTTGTGTGAACCTTTCCCCGGATCCTCCGGTTTTTCACCTACAATTTTAAAAATATGCGTTTTAGAGTATCTGGTAGCTATAAATGTCCACATGATAAGCCACTTCGTTGAGCTATCATTTGTGGTCAGGTTGCTTTTGAAAAAATATCTATATATCTCAGTGGGCTTTACCTGGTGAAATGAAAAGTTAAATTATTTTTTACCAATTAATGGGGGTGCTCGTTGCCAGACACCACTGGCTTGATGTTTCCGTCGATGACTGCATGGAGCAGTGATGGACGAAGCTCTACGGCTTCATTATCACACTTCTCAATATCTGCGACTGAAAAGCCATCGGTGCATTTACTGTATTCGTCCTGCAGTGCTAAATTGAGCTGTGGGGGGGGGGAAGCTCAGCCAGAATCACTCGCAAACCTACGTTGCAATGTAATTTAGTGTAATAGAAAACAACAGAAATGGTCTTCACTCACATGCCAGAGCCACGGGCAGATAGCAGATGCACCAACAAGTCCCATAAACGCATTCCACCAGAATTCCCCTGTTCCCCACTATCGTTTTTAATCCGCATCTTTCACCTGAAACCCCCAGGCAATGTGGTGCAGTTGACAGTTGTTTTTCTCCTCTCCCTATACGCGTGGATGATTAATGAACCCGCATAAACTGGGTAATTTCGAGCAAAGTGCAAACACCGATTTATTGTAGCTGGGATGTTTCGTGTGGCCGTTGGTGAAGGAGCCAAGACCGTCAAACTCACCACACATGACAATCGTTTCACTCTTAGCACCTACTCTGGGCTTCAACCAAATACATCTCGATTCTGTAGAGATGGTTCAGTAATTGGATGTGGCAGTTAGGCTCAGGCTATGCAGCCATCCCATGGAATGTCATCTTTCACTTTTGCTAGGGTCCCAGTTCGCAACCGTTCATAGGCCAAGACCAGAAGGGCCTTCTTTCACCTCTTCATGTCTGCGCACAGCATTCATACACCACACTGACATTCTAATGTCATACCTCTGTACAGGGCAGTTCCATTGAGCCGCATGCAGCTCATTTATAAGGAGGCCCCCCTTTTTATAACCATTAACATTATTTTTAAAAAGTCTCAGCACATCCCTCCCCCCCCCCTTCAATTATTTGTTTTAATATTTAAACTTTAAAATAAAACTACATCACTGTGTTATTTAAACACTAGCCCCAGCATTTTTTTTAAAGTCTCTCTCGTCCATGCTAATCCTCCAAAAAGTTAAATGTCATCTCCTTAAACAGCTCATTTCAAACACGTTTTCCACAATGGTAATTCTCACCGTACACAAACCTTTTGTAACAATAAAACGTAACAACAAGTGCAGCATAACTCTGCGAGTGTCGCAATATCACAACCACAACTCCACACTTGCCAACCCTACCCACACGTTAGCAGCAGGCTTAAGACTTTGAAACCCTTTCCACCGTGTAACGATTTTCAAAGCAAAACTTTTGTCAACATTTTTTCATAAAAAAACACGTACATATCGATATAATCGGCTTCAGAAATCGGTGCGCGGTACATCATGCTGTTTACAGTCCTGAGCCAGTGTCAGAAATTCCACGTTCTATCCATAGGACAACCACTGTTGACTTTCCCCACAAAGCTGCACTCATTTGAACGATGCCAGAGGGCTGATGGGACGAATCAACCCCAAAAGCAGGGTGTTAACTCGCAAACCTTCCAAATCGCTCGCTCTACTCACGAGCCACCTTGGACAGAGGGTTGGCAAAGCATAAATCTCCCCCCCCCCCTCCACAGGCCTGCAAAGCCACGCTGTTCAAAAACGATGGCGTACGGCGTCATTTTCGTTTGCGTCACAAACGCAACGCAGCCACTCCACCGTTCCGCCAATAGCAGCAGTTTGGCGAGGCTCGGCTGAAGCAAAAGTTCTGCTCGAGGCGATAATTCACGCAAAATATCGAGGTGAAAAACGTTGTTTTGCTGTTGTTGTTGCCACTTTCGTACAAACTTAAGATTGGCAAGACCAGCGGTTCGCGGCCAGTCTGGGCTAGTCGCGATGTGAGGCCCTACTTGCTGGCTGTACTCGAATCGAGTTGCGCGATCACACGTTGCAGTACCAAAACGCAACGGGAACCGCCCAATTCTTGCCATAACTAGGGGCCCGTAACTATTCGCTCCCCTTGAGATTCGATTGTTGCGATTCGATTGAGGAGTCGATTTTTGTTTACATTGTTAGTGAATGTATTACGCACAGGTCATCGTCACCTCTCCTTTAACCGCAACGGTCACTGCGGGTGCCACTGATAGTACCTCAGCTGTGAGATCGGTCCACTTCGAGCTGTTCTGCGTGGCCTTTGTCAGGTGTTGTGCCGAATTACGTTTTCAGATCTTGGGTCACCCTCTCTGTTTCGCTGAAACCATGGCGTGCAAGATTACTTTGCTTAAGTCCCCCTCTTCATATACACACCCGTCGCATGCAATTTGGAAATCAATGCTGACACGCGCAATCCTCGCATATGCCGTGAGCTGAAGTGTTGATATTAATCTATGAATTGATGCATCATTACACCCCCCTACTGCTAGCGGTGAAGGGGGGGAAAACCGCGTTCCATAGCTACGTACCCATCTCTCCATTACCGAGTTTTCCCTTGACTGCCACCACTTTCAGTGCAAAGCTGCATGCCTTGGGCAATGTATTAAAGCCCCTCAATCGTCGTACAAGCAGCGGCTCATTGCCCCATGGCTCGGAGTGATTCTCCCAACGACTGTGGCTGACTCAGTGTTGGGGCGCGTCACCAACCGGCTCGCAACGCTCCTCTCAGTTGCGGCAGGAAGCCCTGGGACTCGGATCTGCCCGTTTGACATTTGCACTACAATGCGGTGGTTACACTCGTACATAGACCCCCCCCCAGCTAGCCAGGGTGCTTCAAGGCCAGGATACCTCAAGGCCAGGATGCCTCAAGACCAGGATTAACAAAGCGATGGGTGACTACGGTCAACACACCCCATTGCACACAACACGTGACCGCGTGCGGCCCAACATGGAAGCCGTTCAGATAGCCACTGGCTGCCTGCCCCCTCGTGGCGGTGGCTGGAAGGTGGAATTGTTTAGTCTGGTTGAACGCGATGACGTCACAATGGGCTGGTTGAGCGATTTGGAATGCATTCGCACAACTTTGCAGAGCGTACCAATTGTTCATTGTTATGACATGCTGTATACAAAGTGCACATTTTACTCCGACAGATATCTGTTCATAATTAAAGGGCACCGGAGGCGTAGCCCGGCATCGACCCATCGATTTAAATCTCTCGCCCTTATGAAGGGCGGCGACACAAGCGTCCAACGTTATTTCGATTCGTCGTTGTGCGAAATGGGCTCACGTGGCCATTGCGGCCACTGGTGGCTGCTACCTTCACCACAATGTAAAAAAAAAAAACAAGGTGATCAATTCTTGATTCGAAACGCGAGCGTGAATCGCGACGATCAAAGGAAACACAACCGTTGGGGAGGTGGGCGGTGAATACGAATGCCGGAGTTTCACCACTGTCGTGGTACATAATTACGGGGACACCATGTAGAACAAGCACAGCAATAACACTCACGATTACAATTTATATGAAATATGGGTGTCTGACGTTGGGCAGTCTTCTTTGCTGCTGTCCATTGCTAATCAGAATGCGCTGAGTGTCCCTCACCGAGCCTTACAGTGCATTTTTCAAAACCAACGTACATGGTGTGTAAGCCACGGAAAATATGTAGTCTGTTCAATATGCACGATATATATTAAAAAAACACTACTGTAGGTGTTATTTGTGTAACATTTGCTCGGTTAGTAGATGGGAGTAGTTGACCGCAATATGCGACATCCGTGACAACGGTAGGGGGTCTCGCGGGAGAAATGGCAAAGTTGCAAACTGCTGCTCAATGTGGAATGTCTCCAAAACGGACCTCATTAAGTCGCAAAACGTCGCTAACAGATGGACCTTCTGAAGTCGTCTAAAATGTTATAAGACACGTATTACACACAGTCAGCTGATACGGGTTCCTTAAATCAGACCTGAAACCACTCCTAAATCTGCACGAGTAAAAAGTCTTCGTCTCAGTCACACTCGGTTTGCCGCTAAAGCCCGCTGCTATAAAAAAAAGTTGTCGCACGAGAAGTCAAGAAAGCCACCAAAATTAAGCGACAACATCGCTAAGTTGGCGACAGTGGGTGAAAGGGTGTGACGACGGCAAAGTTGTCAGGAGCCAGACCCCCCTACAACAGCAAGTGACGACTGTCACTTCAGATTTGTATCCTTTCAAGGGCCTTCCTTTGATTTCAGTTTATGAAATATTAGGGGACACCATTTCTTCAGTTATTGTGTAGTGTTAAGGGGTTAGGGTTGTAGGGTTTGATTGAGTTAATGGTTAGGGAATAGGGTTGGGGTTAGTATTTTACCAAAAGAACCAAAGAGTATGAGGGTTGAGGAGGTTAGAACTTCAGAGTTAAGGGTTTGGGGTTAAGGATAAAGAGTTAGGGGTTAGAATAAAAGTTGAGGGCTAGGATTTAGAATTACAGGCTGTAGTTATGTTTGGGCTTTTGATTAGGGCCGGTAGTGCCGAAGTTGATTTTCTTGGTAGATGACCAGTTGTGCTTTAATCACATATTTTGCTCTGCATCTGCAGGGACAGTGGTCTTGGCGTTCAGAAATGACAAAGCCTCGTGAACTCAGTGGTCTTAGACGCGGGCATCGTGAAATGAGGATGCTATTCACGAGGGTGAGAACTTAGGCATGCATCGATTCACCACTCCCCAGCGATTCAATTATTTGTCATGATTGGGAATTGCGATTCGATTCAATAACAGATAATTTTCCATATTTTTATATGATCTTAATTGCATTGTTTCTCGGCCTCTCTGCCTTCTCATTTGCACAGATGTGTTTGCTCCATTAGCCTAAAATGACACCGCCGCATCATTTGCATTAAATTTAAACGATCGATTCACGCAAACACGATTCACCGCATGCACACGTATCGAAAGCGTAAGAATCGATTAAAAATCGATGCATCGTTGCATGCCTAGTGAGAACCCATTGAGAGGTCTTTTGCCTAGCAGATCCAAGACTGGCCGATTAAAACAACATGGAATGTCAGCCACACAGTGTCCTCAGGGTTCGTATATAGTTTGAAACAAGGGCCTTTCATGCGTATTCTTTTAGTCGACGGTAATCATGGGTAGTTAATTGCTCATTGCGGCTTTAACTCGGCTATGGAATGATCCCCCCCCCCCCGAAAAACATCTTAATATGCACTACGTACCACGAAGCAAGCCGATGCATGCTACCAACTCTAAAGAATAACGCTTAAGTGAGGTGAAACCTTAATACACACGTTGCGCTGTAGCAACACGTCAATGGTGCAAATGCACCATGGGAAGAAAAAAATGTTCATGTAAACTACGGGAACTAAACGTGCGTTGTGAAATCGAACGTCACGAGCCACCGGAACGTGAATTCAAACCTAAGAAAGTGCAAAGTTAAACATTTGGAATTCAGCGCCAGCGTGAGCGAGAGCACACGCTGGCGCTACGTCCACGTGTGCCGAGCCTAGGGGCGAGTACGCGGGTGAGCACGAGGGTAAGCGTGGTGAGAAACGTGGGGCGAAAGCAGGGTTAAGCATGGGATGATTGTGGGGTGAGCGAAGAGGTGAAACGACCGTGGGGTGAGCGTGGGGCGAATGTTGAGTGAGCGAGCGCAGAATGAGCGTGGAGCGAGTGTTCGGTGAGCGGCGTGAGCATGAGGGTGAGGAAGACACGGGTCGGACATGATGGAGAGAAGATTTTCGAACAGCCAAATCGGTGCAGCAGACATTGAAGACTGTACAAGGGGGGCATTGAGAGAGAAGGCAGAGAGAGCGGTGACAGCGTAGGACAGGGTTCTTCAAATATATGTGCCAGAGGACCACAATAAAATTAGCATGCACTGGCAGGCCACGTGAGATATGACATCCTACTGTATGAATACGTGACCGCTAATGTACTGCTTTGTTTCCCAGCTGTGTCATATATTTCTCTTCGTTTCTCGCTCTTTCATCTCACCCATCTGAATCTCTTTACGTCTCGGTAAGCCACAACGGGCCATTACTCGGCAGGCCACTGCAAGAGCCTTCAATATGCCAACAATGGCCCGTGGGCCACCAATTGAAGAACCCTGGCACAGGGGACAGAGAAAGGACAGAGATGGAGTGGGCAGAGCAGTTGCGAGAGAACACAAAACTCTCCGCCGATTTGCGAGTCTGCCCGTCATTTCTATCCGGGTGTCCACAATCCCGTGACGTGAACCCTAACGTAGTCGTAAACCCAATCACAGGGCACCCCCCCCCCCCTCCCCACCCCAAGCCGATACCTTGGCAAGGTACGGCTCAAGCCGGTGTGAGCATCTGCGCCCGTCCTGGTCCTCCCAACGCAAGCCCCCCAAAGACGAGAACCATGTGGGGGGGGGGGGGGGGGGGGGGGGGGGGTCGAGCAGGAAGCCGGATCACGATCGCTCGGCGCGCACCGGTTAGTTCAGCTCACGCGGGTTCACAGTGAACCCGGCAGCCGTCGTCAACGAAAAGCGTTTAAAGGCCTCGGGTGTTTGTTCATTCTTCAATTTAGAATTGAGGAATGAATGGAAGTGTAAAAATAAATCATTCAGACTTTTAAATCAATCCATCGAACACGAATCCAGCAGCGCTTATAAGTAAAGCTTGTCTGAAAAATACTGAAGTTTATGAACGGTGCATGGCAGTGCTTCATTATGTGGCGCATTAGGAATATCAGAAATGGTTTTCTCATGACCAATGAAATAAAAAAACAGAAGTTAATATTTGATCAAACGTTCGGTTACCTTACGAAACGGATGGATGATGCGCCTTTTCCCTGTGGTTATTTCTCGTAAAGCGCAGATTCGCATCGCTCGATCGCCTCCCGCAGCGCCAGAGGGTAGAGACTGGGAGCGTCTAACCCAGCAGCCTGTGCTGGGGGGCAGCACAGCCAATTAATTACGACGGTGAATTAGCTTCGTCCAATAGTTGACGGGATATCTGATCCGAGCCGACAACACAACAGGATGGCATTATGAACCGGAATTGTTACAGCCGGGTACTGCTGCCAATTTTATGCATTTGACGATTGACCCCCTCCCCTCCCCCCCAGCAACTCGGTTAATTCTCAAGACAAGAAAATCCACCGTTTGAATCAGGAATCGATTATTTTTCGTCTCATTTTAACGTTCTTGTTTGTGCTGTTTAAATTAGTTTTTCCGCCTCATTTACACATTTACATTGTACTCCGTTCAGTGAAATGTGACACAAGCAAATCAACTGCAATGAATCGTAAACACTAATCGATATGAATCGACAAATGGATTCATCGTTACATCCACACTGTGGTGTAATTGTAAGATTTGTAAAATGTCTTTGTTTCGCCGGCGAAAATAAGGATATGACACTTTGCCTGGCAGGCCTTCATTAACGGCCGGCAGTTGTCAAGGCTTGCAGGTGGCCTAATGGCACGAGTAAGTTTTTTTCTGTCAAGAAAAGAGAGATCAATTCGAATGCTACGGAAGTGTTGTCACCGGAGCAGCAACAGTTTACGGCCCGCTTATATTTATACGTTGCGTATGCATAATTACATTATTATGCACACAAGTGCTTCTAAGGTATGTATGCAAATGCATACGTCGTTGAAAAAAAGCGTCCCTCTGGTACAGCACGTGAGTAAAAAGGGAAGGCGAGGGTGTATACGCGGCGGGTGCCCTTGCACGCGGGTGTGTACGTGTGCGTGTGTGCTGGAGCGAGTGCGCGCGCCCGTTTATTGCAGGAGAGAAACCTCCCTCCCTTCCCCGTGAATCCGTGCATTAAGTGGCCAAAGAACGCTACAACACCAACTCCATAAAAACAATAAGGCGTAACCCAAAAAAAACAACCACCTCGTCGTGTAGACGCATCACACGCCACGGCCGTGCTTCTCTGGCTGTCCATCACGAGCTTGAAGCTTCGTTCACGAGAAAACGGACTTTAAAGTTACGGTTCGGCACGTGACCACAGCACTCGGGTAGACGTCGCTGCGACATCGCCAAACCATGTAACATGCGGCAACGTAGCAAAAAAGGTCACTCGAGCGCCGAGGCGGAGTGCCTGGCCATTATTTGAATGTATTTTCGCATCGACGAAGCTTCCCACTCGTACCGTCTCATCGGACAGCCAGGCGGGACAACGCAGCGGTCGGTTCATAACTTATAGATGTAAACAGCACTTGGCACGGTATGAATTGCCTGTTGAGAGAAGCCCCCAGGGGCGCTCAGGAACCGCTACCAGCCCTGGAAGTGATGCAGAGATTCTCAATTCAGCCCAGGGACCTTGGGTCCCATCTACTGGAGCTCTTCCGCAACCGCTTCGCCCTGTTGCCAGCCTCGATTGAAATACAGGGCGATCCCTTTTATAGATACCCCACTGATTTCTAATGACCACCCGTTCTTCTTCTTCTTCTCAACAGGTGATTGAATATTGTAAAAGCGATATTTTAGAGAGGCGAGCGTAAAAAAGATGTAATAAGTGTTTTTCAGGGAACGTATGAATGGAACACCCAGCACGAGCAGGCGGTAGCGCATTTGCCGCTTGTTGCAAAGGTTCGCAGGTCCGAGGGCCAGTGACCGCCATAGTTAATACTGTGGGTGTAATACCAAAAAAGATAAGTGCCGTCTGATTCACAGCGGACATTAAAGATGACGTGACGAACTATGAAAGAGAGGAGTAGGCCTTGTGTGCCAGCGTCTTGGTCCAAATTTGCCAAAATTGACAAATGACTCGTAAATTACTTAATTTGGAAACAACAAAGCAACATCACCCGCTCCTGGCAGACTCATGTCCACTCACAGACTAGAACTGCATTCTGCCACAGAGCGCATCGACACGTACTGCATGGGAGGTGCGGTATAAATATTACGTGGTGAAGATGACGATGCCGACGTTGTTCTATTGGGTTGTGGCGTCTTCCTTTAAAATCGCGTTACGGCAGCATACGGCGTCATGGGTGTGGCGGCGGCGGCGGCGGTGGCGGCAGTGGTCACTCTGTGTGGATGGCTGTGGGCCTCATCAGCAGTGGCCCGGGGGAGATGAGCAGCCACGCAGGCGGTGGGGACGGCAGCGGCTGCGCCGCCACCGCCTCCGTCGAGAGCCTGGGCAGGCCCCCGAGCCCGGCCAGCAGCCCGCCGGCCATCGGCGAGCCCAGCAGGAAGTCGGCGTCCAAAACTCCGGCCGCCCGGCTGAAAGCTCCGCCGCCGCCACCAATACTTCCGAGACCCCGTCCCAAAGACGAGAGCGACGTCTTGCTGCCGAGGCACGGGGCGACGAGCGGGTAAGTCCGCGTAGGCGACTGTGCCTCCAGCGTGGGGGTCGCACCATCGGGAGATAACGAGGACGAGAAGGAGCAGGAGGACGGCGTCGGCAGCAGCGTGGGCGGCACCAGCGTGATCGCGGACAGCAGCGACGCCATGATGGCCGCCTTGCTCAGGTTGACCACGGGCGAGCCGAGAGCGAACGGCGCCGCGACGGCGCTCAGATCCAGCGGCAGCGTCAGCGGCGAGCCCGGCAGCAGCACCGGGGGCGGCGAGGGGAGGGTGGTGGAGGACGAGGAGGACGAGGAGGAGAGGGGGCAGCCGGAGGAGATCGGAGCGTCGGGCGGCGGCCCGTGCTGGTGGCCGTGTGCCTTGACGTGCTTGCGCAGCGAGCTGGGGTCTGTGTAGCGCTTGAGGCACCCAGGCGTCTTGCAGGCGTACGGCTTGTCCACGTAGTGCGTGCGCGTGTGCTTGAAGCGGTCGCTAGAGTTGGAGTAGCGCTTGCTGCAGCCCTGGTATGGGCACGCGTACGGTTTCTCACCTGGAGGCGTTGGGCAGGGGAGGGATGCAGAGAGGGAAGGGCAGAGCGAAGGTTCAAGCACAGGAAAGGGAGGGAGTCAAAGACAGCAAGGAGCTAGAAATAAACTATAGAATAGAGGTCGAGAAATACTGCAAGGAATATAAAACAGACGAGGAACAGTGAGAGACAAAGTATGCGTGTATCTGTCTAGTGTGCACGCTAGACAGTGTGCGTGATGTTCCACGTGGCTTGCATGAAGTAGCGTATGGTGGTCAAGTACCGTGTGGTGGTGATGGTGTTCCATGAGGTGTTGATGCGCCATATGGTAGTAATGTGCAATGTGGTGGTGGAGTGCCATGTGGTGGTGGTGTTCCATGTGATGGTGATGCACCATGTGCTGGTAACGTGCAGTGTGGTGGTGGTCAAGTGCTGTGTGGTGCTGATGTGCCGTGCGGTGGCGGTGCACCGTGTGGTGAGCACTGCCACCGCCACCCTGACCCGTGTGTGAGCGGCCGTGGATCTTGAGATTTTCGAGGCGCGAGAAACTCTTGTTGCAGATCGGGCACTGGTGCGGCTTCTCGTTGGTGTGCGTGCGCACGTGGATCAGCATCTTGTACCTGCGTCGTCATCGCCGCCACATTTACACGACATTACACGCCGGGGTGGCGAAGTACGGTCGATGAACTCTCACCTCTCACATAGCGTGGCGAGGCCCTCACCCGGGAGCGAATTGATAAAAAGGGCCGTAAATGTGCAATGTCAATGGCCTAATGGCCAAATCACCTGGTCGCTGCAGACACTTTACGGATATAAATGGAGACTAGAGGATGCTTCCGTACAACCTCACCGTCACCCGGAATGCACCCAATCTCGTCAGATATCGGCAGCTGAGGGGGATCGAGCCCGGATAGTGCTTGCATGGGTGACCACCATGCAGGTGTTATAGGTTGCTGCGGGGGCTACAGCCTGGAGCAGTCCTGTATATGGCAGTGGAGCAAATCCCACGTTCTAAATGCATTATCTCTGTCCTTCTGCCTGTAATGGGGGGGGGGGCACGATTACTTACTTCAATAACGATAATCCAATATAGATTAGAGAGTTGCTAAACGAGACTTATCCTCCACTGGAACCTCCTTTGTCAGTAGCAAAATATGATAATTGTTTTTTTTACCATTTTATCTGGCAACAAAACTGACACCTTTTTTACAAGGAGTCATGTTTGCATTGACCACAATACCTGCGGTCGGAACGCAAACAAAAAACAACAACTCTGATAATGATATGCACTGTCCTTGAAATTGATTGGTCCACACCCGAGACAGCTTTCCTTAGAGCCTAGTCTCACATGGTGTTGGACCGACCAGAAGACGCTCGAATTGAACGAAAAATTTGTGAAATTATTGACGAAGAATAACGGCGTTAAAAAGGATCACCCTCAGTGGCCTAGGCGACGTGCTGTCATCTCGCAACGTACATCGCACGACACCTTGCCACGCGACGCCATCCCGTCGTGCGGCCTGAAACCCATCGTTTATTATCGCGAATGTAGATGCGTCGAGAGGGCAACCGCACGTCGGAAAGTGGTAAAGAATCCGCTTGCGTGCCCGATTTTTCTTCCCCTTCCTTCACGCGCAAGCGTGGCCCCTCACCTCGCGTTGAATCCCCTCCCCATGCGCGCGCAGCCCTCCCAGTGGCAGCAGTATCCGACCTCGCGATCGGCGCGCACGTGAGCGTCGTGCACGTGCTCCACCAGCTCCTGCTGCGAGTCGAACACCTGCTGGCACTGCGCGCACGCGCGAGAACACACGCATGTGGGAAAGCGCGCGTGGGGCGGGGGGGGGGGGTTAGCGGTAGTATTTGCGGTTGAGTTCGATTCCCGTTCACGGCCAACACCAGTGACGGTTATCTAAATCAGTCCTGGGTCTCACCTAGGTCGACCCAGAACCAAATGAGTACCTGGTGCGGTGTGTAAACATCGCCACTAAGGGAGACAAAGGCGGCCGGTGTGGTTTTGGCCACCCCCTCGTGTGCCGTGCCGGCCTTCAAAGGTGCTCGAAACAGCGCTTGCCCCAGCAGTCTGGTAAGGTTATACGGGGTGATCTTTGTGGGTTACTGAACGGTGCAACACCGAAAACAGGTCGGGGAAAATCATCCGCACGCGTAATTTATATGTAACGTTATTCCCAATGCGTGTTTGTCTTCGGAGGAATTTAATTAGCAGTAACAAAGTCTACGAGTAGCGGCGAGGGCAACATTTATTTGCATATTCGCAAAACACCCCTTTTTGCTATTTTTTGTCTATCAAGTTTTTGGGGCAACACTTTGATCGATTTGGCCAATTGTCAAAAAGGTTATTCCCCAATAGCAACACAAAATTATCCTACGGGATTGCTAATACTGCATCATCTTTACGACAGTTGGAGTGCGCCCACCGTTTCGGACGAACAGAGTTAACGCATCGATGCTTCGAACCTTGCTTAGAAAGCGTTAAAATCAAGTAGCATTTATCTTGTAGGCATTCACCTGAGCAGTATGGCACAAGTTTAAGTTTCACTCATGATAAAAAAAAAATCCTGTCAAGTTAATATTATGGTAAAACTTTATTTTGGCATTCTATTCACATAATTGTGAATAGGAGGTGCATAATATTATGCACCTCCGATTAGCACGGTTGGCTACATACAGTGCCAAAGACATTAAACATACAGTAAAAACTTGGATTGCGAGTAACTTGGTCTGCTAGTGTTTTGCAAGACGAGCAAAAAATTTTAAGTAAATATTAATTTCATAAACGAGCGAGGTCTTGCAATACAAGTAGTACGTATACGCTTTGACTGCCGAGCATTACGTGATTACAACTCATATACGAGTGCTTTGATATACGAGTCCTTTGGATTACAAACATGTTTCCGGAACGAATTATGCTCGCAATCCAAGGTTTTCCTGTATATACAAGTTAAGTCGCATCACTGCAGAGGCACTTCAGGACACTTAGGGACACACAACCTCAGTATTAGCGATGTCCATGAGCTTGCACCTGCTTATCTTACAAGTCTTGTCATGCATTATTAAGCCTCAGGCACTACAGCTAGTGGAATCTAACCTCTGGGCAGCACCGTCAACTCACCTCGCCAGCATAGGTGACTAGGATTGCCACGATATCATCATCTTATCAATATGACAATCATCACCACATCAGTTTCCCGTAACTATTTAATTGCAGATAACATATTTTTGCTGTAACGTATTCTCTGGCCACAAACCACGCTAGACTTGGGCCCTGCAGTGTGTGTGGCTGCGTGACGTACTCGCTTCCAATGGCAAGTCAGCGGCCCCGTGAAATCTGTGTCATCCGGGCCCAGCGGCAGAACCAGGCTATCCCACCTCATCTGCAGGCCACGCATGCGCACGCACACACAGGATACACAAAACACAGAGGTAAAGATCCTTATTTAAAGAGCCACACGGGGTGGTGGGGGGGGGTGCGGGGCAAGAAATCATGACTTGTATATTGGTAAACAAGGCACCTACAGCGCACAGGTCAGGCAAATATCTCCTGTGTAGCCTCGTAGACCGCTGGAGTGCACGAGCTATTAGCAAGCACCTGTATAGTACACAACTGAAAAAGGCACCTGCGGCACGCACATGCGCACACACACAATCACAGCACAGCACTTACCATGTTTTACAATGGATGGTCTTGTGTAATCAACAGTGACTCGGCCGAGACCATTAAATACTCCACACAAGAAACCTTTTTGCAGAGATCAATAGCCCTGAATAGGAACCCACGCCAATTTTACAACAATCGCATCGGCTTCCAGTGAAACCGTTCATATATTTAAAAAATCTTGATAAGGGCATTTAAATCAACCCATGGGCTTGCACCTGCGTATCTTACAGATCGCACCATGCAGTACAAACAGTCTCGGGCACTGGAGTCAGTGGAATCTAATCTCCGGGCAGCCTTGCCAACCCATCTGGCCAGCGCTGGTGACTATCGTTGCCGTAATATAAGTTTTCATATGCGTGACGATTATCGCGATATCAGTTCCCCATTACTTTGTCATTTCATTTCACACTTGTATTGTACTTGTTTGTGCTTTGCTGTACTCCCCTTATAAAAAAATCTAAATTCGACACGAACCTTCACGTGAAGCTACGCGCTCACGAGTCTATTGAATTCAACGTTTTTCAAAGCCTGCGTCTCCTTAAACCGCAACGAGGCCGCCAATGAAGATAAAAAAATCTACGGAATGATGCCTTGCAGAAATTCCAGCATTTGGTCATGATGCTCAATTAACCGTGGCTTAGGTGTCAGTATCAAGTCTAAATACATAACACAGGCATTCCTCGATATACACAACAGATACGTTCCTGAAAAGTTGTCCGTAAAGCAAAACATTGTGTACATCAAACCCTATTTTTCCCATTAGCTTCCATTATTTAAATGGCGATGCATTCCTACGGATCCCAGGACGTAATAAAAATGACACTTAAGAATACAGCAAACACTTTCAAAGCGCATATTTCATGGATAATCGATCATTATGCTAAAATACTAATCTTAATGCTAAAAATAAGTCACAAAATCACATCACCGTACCAAAACCAGCCAAACTAGGACGCCATCAAAGGCGCGAGAAACCAGTAAACATGAAAGTGTGCGCAAACAACCTTGAGCAGCATTGAACGGACGCCAGCACAAATTGCGAATGGTACATGGTTTGATGTCAATGCACGCTAGGACAAATTACTAATTGTGCATTGTTCGATTTTACTCCCCCCACTAAAAATATAGAATTTAGAAATTAAAATTTCCGTCAATGGGAATTTTACAAAACATATATCAAATTATTTCCTCATTTTATAAGTTATGTTATAGTGAAATTCCGTATATTTAGATGCCGTAGAATGAGAGATGACTGCTCTTACAAACCCTACCGAGTTAAGCGGTAGGCCGCCAATTTTTGAACCCGCAAAGGGATTATGGAAAAAATATATATGAATGCAAATTTAGCTTTTCGAAGAAAAAAAATCGTACACTGCAAATGGGTTTAAAAATTGAGAGAGCAATGCTTGAATCGTTAAAGGGCCTGGAAAGTATGCAGCGGTAGCGAGACCCCCTGCCGGTGGTGAGGCTGCACTGGCGGGTGTCTCCGCTCCCCCCAGGGGCGAGCGCCACTGTCGCGCTTACGTTTGCTTCCTTTTTGGCGAGCAGAGCGGCGCGGTGCAAAGCGATGCCCAGGCTTGTGGACTCGTCCAGGCCCAGTCTCTCCTCCTGGGCCTGCTCCAGCAGATCTGTTCGCACCCGTGCGTGCGTGCAAATCCAGACCGCGTAGTTACACGCAACTAACACGTGCGGATATGGACAGTTAAACACAACTAACGCGTGCGTATACAGACACGCGCACAAAGACACCATTACACAACTATTACACGCACACACGTACTTACACAGTTACACTAAATTAAAATACAAACACACACAGACAGTTGCACACCAATATCAAACACACACGCACATACAGTTACCACAGTAATCAAACACGCAAACTCGTACATAGTTAGAACCATCACATGCGTGCGCGCATACACAGATACACGCAACAACAATTGCCTAAGTGGCGGTGCCATCATCACGGCACGCAAGCCAGGCTATGTACACTTTAAGGCCACGTGAAGTGTGGAACACACGCTGGCAGGAGGTCACGGGGCAGACCCAGGGGCCATGGGTTGACTGAGATGACTGGCAGATGCACCACCTGTACCCCATACTGTGCCAAATTACAACTGTCACAGACACACACATGCGTACACAAACACACGATACCTGTGGAGGTGAACGTGGGCAAGGAGGTGATGAGGGCCGTCCCGTCGTCTGCCATCTTGAGCACAAGCCCTCCGCGCTCACGCGCTGCGTAATATTGCTGAGCGGCCGCCGCCACCGCCGCTCGGCTCTTGGACAGAGAGCGACGTCCGCAGTCATCGCCGGCCCCCGTCACTGCTAACGCTGCTCTCCCGGTGCCCAGCTTCAAGTCCAGGGGCTCCTCCAGACACAAGGCCTCCATGACCGCGTCGGCACGCGAGGGGCACGCGACGGCCAGGATGCGGCGGAGGGCACGGTGGGGCCGGTGCAAGGAGGAAGCGGCAGCGCGAGGGAGGTCACGGTCTGCGTCACCATGCGCGAGACGCCGAGCCAGCGAGCCAAGACCACCGACAGACGCGTGGGGGTGACGGTGCTGGTGAAGCGATCGGAGTTCTGATGGTGGTAGTGATGGTCGGTGGTTCTTTTTGCAGGGGGTGTTTTCTGGGGATTTTTTTAGGTTAAGTGTCGTGAACAAGGGGCAACTGCAATTTGAAGTCGGCAGACTGATGTAAATAAGTGTATACTCTGCGCAAGTAAATTGACGTTTCGTTCAGCCACGGACGTTTCTGAGAATTTAAGTAAAAAACACTTTGGGATCATGTGCTGGTGCTGTGCAGCACGTGTCGTCGTTTATACTGCGACCCCGAGTTGGCGCTGGGAGGTCTCTGGGCTAGGGATGTGCGTGCAGGGCAGGCCCACGCGAGCAATCGCTATGTTGCGCCCTGGCCGCCCATCGCAGGCCCTCTGTCGCACTCATCAGTATCGGAGCAGACGCATCCATCCAATGTGTGAGCTCCTCGTCGCTGAAGCTCTGACGGCAACTTTTTTTTATATATATAAAAAAATTACGTTCGGATTTTATTTTTAAATCTCTCGTGCATGACGTGTGCGGCAAATGAGGAAGGTTTCAGATGTACGGTCAGGCTTCAGGATTAGGCTTCTGGGTCACAGTGGTGCCAAGAGGGACTATGTGGTTGTTCAGCAATCCAATTTTCAGGGCTCTTCCCTCCTGTGATGAGAGACCACATCATACATTATAAAAACAATGTTAATGATTAACATTTTAAACACCACTTTCACAAACATTATCACTTAAGACACGTAGATGCAAATCTCATTTGCATTCCAGTTTTCTGCCACAAACACAAAAATCCGCATTAGTGGCTACAGATCACAAGCAGGACTAACCTCATTCGAATATCCTTCAGTGATCTTGTTTTTTTATTCACTGACGCTCACATTTATTTCACAACCTCCTCACAATAAGAATTACACTTGAAAAAATATTTTAAATGGCGACTTTAGTGATGTTCTTTTATTTTTATTTTTTTTATATTATACCATAAAGGTATTCTATCCGAGTAGAGATTCACCATACGATAGTCTATCTGGGTAAACGTCAACCATAAATTAGTTTATCTGGGAAAGATCTACCATCTGGTAGTTTATCCAAGGTAAGGCCAGCCATATGGCAGTTTATAGGGGGATGATATACCATCTGGTAGTTTATCCGGGGGAGAAGTGGCATGGGGAAGATGGACACAGCATGACACTTCAAAGGTGTCCTCCCTGCGTGGGTTCAGAGGGTGGAGGATAAAGGATGCGACTGGAGTGGAGGAGCCAATCAAGACAAGGTAACGGGTACACTTCAGAGCAGGGCCGCTACCTACATTGAAATACAGGGAGACCCTTGAATATCGTGGGGGTTACGCTCTTGAAAAGTGCCGCAAAAGCCAAAGCAGCGATTTTCAATACTTAAGCCCAACCTATATAATGAAGTTTGGTACACGGCAACCAAAACTAGACACATCGCAATTGAAACAAGGAGTGAATGGCAAATAGTCTAAAAACTAAATAATTGTAATAAACATGGAAAAACCGGATACAAAAAACATTCCTCGACAACACAGTATTATAAATGCTGAATAAATAATGTATTTACCGATGATGATCTAAAGCGGGTGTGTGTTTGTCCGCGAGTGGGATGGAACATGCTACAAGTAACAAAATCATCTAGGAATCCCAAGATATGACAATACAATGCCGATTTTTAACAACATGATGATTATTGCGATATCGGCTTCCGATAAGTTTGTACTGTAATTGTATTTCGCGTTTTTCTTGTTTTTGAGGTTTGGTCTCTGCTTTGCTTGCCGCTCGAATGATGATTACCGTAGTGTTACAAGGTTCTGAAAATGCTGCTCGTTCGACATAGTCCTGATAAATCACTGCAACTTTGCCATCTAATTACACTTATAACACACAATATATGCCGTGGGTTCCACGATAAGTAATTTATTGAACTTCTACAACTTATTGAACTTCAAACAACAGTCCAGGGCTTCCGTTACGCTGAGATGCAAAAGAAAATCCAGCATTTTTAAATGGAAGTCTGAAATGGTTGTTTAGTTAATACGTTCATTTTTGTGCTCGTGACATCGCTAAATATTGTCAGGAAATATGATAAAATATTTAAAAAACAAGGGAGGATATAGCGACAGTTTATAAAACGCACGATACGATTACTGATGTTTTTATCGCACGGGTAGCACCTATCCGGATCGCGACAAAGGAAGTTGTTCACAAAATAAACAAAAATGTTGGCTCTTTCCCATGTTTGTCTCTCCACATTATAAGTTACAATAGTTTGTTTAACACATCCCATCGGCAACACGGCCTTTTCTTTCTGGGAGTGCCATATTATCAGCAGCATTGGCGAAGTACCAGCAAAAGACTTGACCGGTTTCGTCATTCAATGACTCATCAGCAGTGAGGCTTGCTTGAAACAATGCTGATGTACTTATCATAGGGCAGGGACGATGTCTGTTCGAAATGAGTTCTCGTCGGACGCAAAACCTCTCCGTTAAGACATAAACACAAACGCACGGAGAATTGTTGAGCCGTCACCTACAAATGTGCGTCCACGCGTCCATGTCCAGTAGAGGTCACTCTTTAGCCGTGCTAAGAACTTCTGGAGTGCGCCCTGCCATTCTGCACCGACCACCTTGCTCCATTTCCCAGGGCTTACTCGCGCAGCCTAATAAAGCCGATCGCTCACAATTTAACCGCTGTTGTTACTGCGATTTAAAATTGTTCAATACGACCGAGCTAATGAAGGCGTAATTAACCGGTTCAACCCGAGCGGTGACCAGGCCTGGTTGGCCACTATTTAAATGAGCTCTCACCGCGTTAAATGAAATGAATGGAATTATGGACGTGTGCGTTATCACGGGGGGGGGGGGGGGGGGGGAGGAGGGGGGCAATGTTGCATATTGTGTGCTTACATTAAGAAATCACGCGTCACGTATGAATTAATAAGAGCGTGCGTGCGTACGGGCAGCCAGTACTTAAGTCATTCGGGATGCGCTGCGTCTCATCAAATCTCGGATGATAAGCAGAGTTAAGCCTGGAGAGTGCTTGGATGGGTGACCGTCACGGAGGTCGGGGGGGGGTGGGGCTACGTGATCAGCAGGTGGCAATGCCACTACACGTGTTGCACCGTACTTTCTATGCCCCCCGCGTCTGCGCTTGTCGCCTTCGCCCGCACTGATCAGCTGACCAGCGTGAAGAATGGTCAAATAAACCCCGCGCGGCTCGTCCTCATCGAGCAGTGGATTTTTTTTTTAAACCGCTGTCTACAAACATAAACACATGAGCACAGTGTATAAACTTATGGCACTCGTTACAACGTACGTGGTTATTTTCTCTCAAATGTGCGATTTTGACACATGCCACTACCACTCACCCCGTGGGTGACGGATGACGATGATGATATCGCACAGAAATAACCATTCGATGGATTTACTCCGGGGGTTGCGGAGCGGGGGGTGGTGGGTAGCCCCAGCTAATGTCGCGACTCTCCATCCTTTGGAAGGGTCCCGACGTTTGTTTGGTCAAGAACCCAAAATTACGGAGCCCGTTGGCTTTGCGTCGAGGGGAACCCGCACGGAGGAAACCCACCACGGATATCGATGGGGGGTGGTGGTGGTGGCCATTCAGCTCCGCACAGACGAGACTCAAGAATCCACTGCCGTACTGCCATCGTCACCTGGCTACCTCGCACACACAGGTTTACATTTTGACGCCACACTCTTTGGTTCTTTCGGTAAAGTCACGTAGGTATAAAAGAAAAATAAATCACGACGTTTCGGGCGCAACACACCTGATGACGGACGCTTGTGTTGCGCCCGAAACGTCGTGATTTATTTTATTTTATACCCACGCGATTTTACCGAAAGAACCAAAGAGTATGGATTCCTGCAGTCACGAAAGCTTCAAATCAAGATTCAAATCAAGATTTTGACTACAGTCTACATTATAGGCTGCCAGTACACTCACTCAGATTAAGAACCAGGCTACAGTCTCCATTAGTGCTTTTTGTTTTGTATTCTTTTTATTTGTTTATTTTTTTTCTATCTACGTGACTTTACCGAAAGAACCGAAGAATATACGCACAGGTTTTTTTTGACAGTCTGCAGAGAAAAATCACCCGGTTGCCCTTGTTAAGCCATGCGCTGCCCGCAAGAAAACACACTTTAGCACACACATGCGCATGCCTAACAATCAAACGTACCGTGATGATACAACTCTTTTGCTCGTGTGCCCTGTGCACGAGCAAACGTGTGTACGTGCACCATGTGCGCACGTGTGCCTAATACGCTTGTAATGTATACGTGTGTAGCGTGTAAATCAGCGTAAACGTCACTTGCACCCCGATAGACTTTGCGTTATATGACCGCAGCGGCATTGTACGCAACACAATGTGCGCGCACACGTGTGTGTGTGTATCTGTACACTACGTGATGTGCGAGTACGTACGTATCTGTATGGATACGTTATGCATGCGAGTGTCTGCGAGCATCTGTTTTTTTTATCAGGGCCATATAAATTATGTGCGCGCGTGTGTGTGTGCATCGTGGTAGTGTTAGCGCTACGAACCCAGCAATCAGAGTTAAATTTCGGCTCGCGGCCATCACCAGTGACGATTATCTGAATCGGTACCTGGGCCTCCCCTAGGTCGACTCGGTCTCAAATGTGTACCTGGTGCGATGTGTAAAAGCATTGCCACTCGGGAGACAAAGGCGGCCGGGTGTGGTTGCTGACCACCCCCCTCCCCCCCCTCGTGTGCCGTGCCGGCCTTCATAGGCGCCGCTCACTAACAGCACTTGCCCCAACAGTCTGTTAAGGCTACACGGGGGAGCTTTGTCTTTGTTGCATCATGAATAGTCTACACTGTGGGGGGTTTTGCACGTGTGCGCATCTGTGTGCACGAGTGCGCGCATCTGTGTACACACGCGTGTGCGCATCTGTGTGCACGCGTGCGCATCTGTGTGCATCTGTGTGCACGCGTGTGCGCATCTGTGTGCACGCGTGTGCGCATCTGTGTGCACGCGCGTGCACATCTGTGTGCAAGCGCGCGCGGATCTGTGTGCACGCGCGCGCGCATCTGTGTGCACGCGCGCATCTGTGTGCACGCGTGTGCACATCTGTGTGCACGCGTGTGCACATCTGTGTGCACGCGTGTATGTATAGCGGTGGTGTAAGCGGTTAGCGTACAGAGCGCTACGACATCCCAGGCGAGCCGAGGTCAATGCCCGCTCACGGACCATCGACGTTTGGCGAATATCTGAACCGATGCTGGGCCTCCCCTAGGTCGACTCAGCTTTAAATGAGGCCGTAGTATTCGCCACCCAACACCCTCTCTCGTGTGTGTCGTTCCGGCCTTCAACGACACCCGCTAAAGAGTACTTGCCCCAACAGTCTGTTAAAGGCTATACGGGGGGGGGGGGTGTGGTGGATCTTTGTCTTTGCATAGTACACTATGCACAGATATAAAATATATGGAATTGGTGTACATGTGTGTAATTGTATCAACAACAAAATCCTCACCTTCGTCAATAATTGTTTTTTTTAATATCAAGTGTGCACACACGTACACCTTTGTGTGTGCGTACACACGTACACATTGTCACATAGTACGTGTGTGCACACCATTGGTGTTGTCTGCAGGATCAAGCAGTGAATTGACAAAGGATTTCCATTTAAGTGATGCCCCCTGTGATAATTATTATAAAGCGAATGTGCAAAAGCCCCCTCCTCGTATGTAGCCCGCATACTGGAGCGTCTGTACGGTATTGTGTGTGTATATACAGTCCTATGAAAAAGGGGCAATTGCCCGAAACGTCGCCTAATGTATTAGTTTCCTTTAAGGCAGTGTTATTGACGAATGTGTTGAGTTTTTAAAAAAATGTATATAAACAATTGTTGCGTGTGCACGACTGCCACGTAGCATCATCATCACCACCACCAACAACAACGATTTAACACGTAGGCTTTCTCGACCAATATTATCCATAATACAGTACAGGGTATTTTTTTTTAGTGTTAGATCACGTAAACAAGAGAGTGCCGTTAAAACCACCACCCAACGCGACACAGCCAATTAGTAAGCTTTGTCAAATAAACAGAACGTGCCAATGCGTTACTAGGTGTGCTGTGGCGTAAAATCCACGACATTTACAAATCTGAGTGAAACGACGTTTCGCCAGCGACTTAGAACCAGCAACATCAGGCGACAGCCAGATTTGTAAACTTGTGTGGCACAATCGGTGCGTGTTGTGCTTAGTAACGAATTGGCACGTTCTGTTTACTTGACACGAACCTTCTCCCTGTTAAATAATTGTTGTTGTTGGTGGTGGTGGTGATGATGATGATGGTGAAGAGTTTTGCAGTGATGCACACGCACAATTGTTTATATTTGTGTGTTTTTTAAACTCATGATTGTCGCTCGCTAACAAGCAGTATGTTTTGCACCCCTACCCCACCACCACCAGTCTGGTAAGGTCACAGGAGATAGTTTTTATCCTTTGTTTTGTGTACAAATGCCTTTATCAGTTCACTCCGAGCGCACAGCGTGTGTGTACGCATGCTCCCCACAACGCGTATACGATGCTGTGAGTGGTACACACATTTGTACACACACACACGCGAGTGAATACGTGACCAATGCTTAGGTATAGACATTCACTAATATGTATACAAGTTAACGGTATTTCTGCAACGCGCGTACCTGTCTGCAGATGAACCTGTGTATGAATGTGTGTACACATGCAACACCTGTAAACACAGATGTGTACACACATTCGTATGCAGACGAACCTGTATAGGAATGTGTGTACACATGTATACCTGTGAACACGTGTACACTACTTCTGCACGCGTGTACCTCTGCGCGTTTGCCTACTCTGCGCGTGTACACGTGCATGTGTACTCGTGTGTGTACACGTGTACTCGCGTGTGGACGTGTACTCGCGTGTGCACGTGTGTACACACGCGTGTGTATATACTCTTGTGTACACACACACACTCGTGTGTATACACACACACCCGTGTGTGTACACAAGAGTACACACACACCCGTGTGTGTACACAAGAGTACACACACACACCCGTGTGTGTACACAAGAGTATACACGCACACACACTCGTGTGTGTACACAAGAGTACACACACACCCGTGTGTGTGTACACAGGAGTACACACAAACACCCGTGTGTGTGTACACAGGAGTACACACACACAGACCACTCAACTCTTGTGTACACACACCCTTGTGTGTACACAAGAGTACACACACACACACCCTTGTGTGTACACAAGAGTACACACACACCCGTGTGTGTACACAAGAGTACACACACACACACCCGTGTGTACACACACACACACCCGTGTGTGTGTGTACACAGTACACACACACACCCGTGTACACACACACACACACCCGTGTGTGTACACAAGAGTACACAAGAGTACACACACACACAGAGACCACTCACCAAAGGAAGCCGCCGCCGCCGCCGCCGCCTCCGCTCTCTCCCGAGCCCCGGCCCCCGAGGAACCGGGTCCCAGGTCCCAGCCCCCAGCGGGAACCGGGTAACGGGGGAGCGTTCAGCCACGGAACAAAGACAAAGATCCCCCGGCTAGCCTGTGACAGACTCCTCGGGGCAAGTGCTGCTCGCGAGCAGCGCCTATGCAGGGCCGCCGCGAGAGGGGGTGTGGAGCTGACCAGCGCCTTTGTCGCCCGAGCGGAGACGTTTGCGCACCGCCCACCGAGTGCTCATTTGAGGCCGAGTCGACCTAGGAGAAGGTCCAGGGGGACGGGTTCAGAGGTCGTCTCCTAACCACACTTGGGCTGGTTGTTCGCCGTGGGGAGGGGGGGGGAGAGATCTCAACTCGGGTGGCGCGGCGCGCTAATCGTTGCACCACCGCTCCCCAATTCAGTCACACGGCAGCAGCAGTGGTGGGTGGGGGGGGAGGGAACTCGATTCGATTCATCCACCAAAATTTATGTTTTATAATTCCCGTCGATTCGATTCGTCGTCAGCGTTTATTATTCACGCCCCGCCCATTCGAATCGCGGGCGGTGTTCGATTCCGTCGCGGCGATCCGATTATGGTCCGTCGGCGCTTGGTGTTTCAGGAAGGGAACGCGGGATGGGTTCCGCCTGATGATGCTCGTTGTAATTACCGGCGAAACGTCGTACTCGGATTGCAAAATGTTGTGCATTTGCTCTCCAGCACACCGCTGTTGCTGTACTACTAGCGAGGCATTGGCACGTTCTGTTCACTTGACAAACCTTACTAATTGGCTGTGTCGGGTGGTGGCGGCGGGTTTCACGACGACACATTTATATTTACGCGATCTAACCCCCGCCCCCCCCCCCCCAAAAAAAAAAACCCCTGTATTATGGTTTGTACGTACACGTACTATTTTGGTAACATCGAGTTTGCATACCTGTCAACCCATACCGTTTACCCCCTATTCTTATACGGGGAAATTGCGTTTTCAAGTCCATACGGCGTACAGCCGTTTCAATATTGGCAAAAGTTTTTTTGTTAATTTGTTTGTGTTTCTCCCTTGTGATGGGACTTTGTAAGATGAACGTTGAGCTTTATAAGGGCACGGGGTGGCCAATAAGGTCTGAATCCGTCTGCTAATAAAGAAAGAGGCACTGATAAGGGGTTGACAAGGTATGCATTTATAAGATGCATTTCATTCTTAGGATCCCAACGCAGTGCACATAAATGTATTTTATGTTTCGTATTGTATTTTGTCTAAATGTATCCTGCACGGTATCCATGCCGTAGCATAGCCACCGTCCCGGTTGGGAACTTCTGGTCGAGCGTGTTTTAAGAGATACGAGGTTCACACAACAGGATGGGAAGTATGGCATGGCCTATATCCATTGTATTTATTGGCTTCGAGGTGACCTGCAGTTTGTGTCCGTACAGCAAGGAGTTATTAAATCTATCTGTGCGGAGCTTTGAGTTGGTATCCACCCCCCCCCCCCCCCCCCCCCCCGTGCATGAGAGGGTTGATCCAGGTTGTACGTTGTGCTCTCACGTGAAGCCACAATTTCACTTGAGGACATGGGCCACACATCCCAATATTAGTTGGCAATACTTTTGAGAAAAGGTGTCTGGGACACGCAGTGAGTCGTATTTCCTGGGGATCACATTGTTTAATTATCCATTTTTACCGCGTAAACAATTACAAGTGGAAACGTCGCCAACAGGACACACTGGCTTACACAAATTACTTTACCAAATGTTTTGGCCCATTTAAGTATTTAGTGCTTAAGCTGTCATAGAGCTATGTGGCTTTTGAATGTGAGAAATGTAGAGCCCAAGGGGGGGTTTTGGTTAATTGTTCCAATGGTAATTGTACATTATAGCTAATCCTCCAGATTAGGACGCACTTTTCCCTGTGGGTATTAAAGTAAAAGTCGGTGATATATTCTCGTGGTGCACGTTATTGTTTACGTAAAGCAGGTAATTTGTTACACTGCTTGATATTGCCTCGATTTTTTTTACTTAATGAGATAGTTTGAGATACTTGACAGCAAGTCGCCCTAAATCCGACTATATAGTTCGTGCAAAGTGCGTACTTGGGTATGCAAAGAGTTTAAAGTATTGTAAAGAGTGAGGCGCGCTTTACCCACTTCACGTCGGGGACATTAGTGGGATGATCAGGTGGCTGACACACGAGGGGAGGACCCAAATGAGCGACAACCACGCAACAAAAAATACAATATTTCGGTAAATCTTCTTTGGTTCTTTCTTTTATTCTCATTCTACGTGGCTTTACCGAAAGAACCAAAGAAGATGAATCCTTGCAGTCACGAAAGCTTTAAATCGAAATCTTTCGGTAAAGTCACGTTGAAGGGGAAACAATAAAAAAATAAAATATATATAAAAAAACAAAAAAATTCTCACGACAGGTGATGATGACCGTTTGTGTTATGGTCGAAACGTCGTGAGAATGTTTTTATTGTTATATTTTTTTATTGTTTCCCCTTCAACGTGACTTTACCGAAAGAGCTAAGAATATGAATCACTGCAGTCACGAAAAATAAGATCGTCACCCAGCAGTGGGTAACGAATGTCCCGCGTTAATTGATCGAATTACATAATACACGTATGTATACAGTATATATAAAATAAGTTTATAGCTACAATTAATACCGGGGGGAGGGGGCGAGGTCGGGGGGGGGGGAGCCCCCCCCCCTATTTGCTGACTCCCATTGGGGAACCGGATCCAACAATCTCGCCGGGTCCACTTCACGTTTTTACATTTCCTAGCTCTCTTGGGCCCCCCCCCCCCACCTCACCCCCCACCTCCCCCCCCCACCTCCCCCACCTCACCCCCCACCTCACCCCCCCACCTCACTCCCCACCTCACCCACCACCTCCCCCACCTCACCCCCCACCTCACCCCCCCACCTCACCCCCCCACCTCACTCCCCACCTCACCCACCACCTCCCCCACCTCATCCCCCACCTCACCCCCCACCTCCCCTCCAACCCCCCACCTCACCCCCACCACCTCCCCCACGTCACCCCCCCACCTCACTCCCCACCTCACCCACCACCTCCCCCACCTCATCCCCCACCTCACCCACCACCTCCCCTCCAACCCCCCACCTCACCCCCCCACCTCCCCCACCTCACCCCCCACCTCCCCCACGTCACCCCCCACCACCTCCCCCCCAAACACCACGCCCAACTTCGCCTCTCCACCCTCTTCCCATTGGTCGTTACTTCTCGTTCCAACCAATGGCAGGCGAGGAGCGCTCGCTCGCGCGCCAATGGGCGCTTGCGTCGCCGCCGCGGCAGTCGGGGGCCGCCCAACTCCGCCTATCCGGTGTAGGAAATGTGAGAGGGGCAAAGCCGGAGTCTGCCAGTTTCACAAATACATTTGGCTGGGTTGGGGAGGTGGCTGGCGTGTGTTGGGAATGAATCAGAATATTTATTTATACTGCAGGAATTAATCTGATGAGCTAAAATAAGTTAACACCGCTGAGGTGTTAACTTATTTTTTTTAGAAGTGACCCGGCTACAAATTATAGTTAAACAAAGCGGCCCATCATTTGGACACAGCACTAACACAATCTCAATGCATGGTTTTAAATGAGGCTGCATGCGTGGCTGCATTTTTTCAATTTTTAGTATAGCCCTGTGAGCCATTCGGCTCTTGAATCGGGTGCAACCACAACAAACAAAAAACAATAACACAAACAAGAAAAAAACATCTTAAAGTGACTATGTGACTGTGCAAACAGAAAATCCAAGAAAAAACAGCAAACTATTTCTGAAAAAAGCACCGTGCAAAAAAACCCAGTGCGATGCAAGCAATTTGTTAAGGGGAAGGGGTGGTTGGGTTATGTGGTCACTGGTTCGTAAATACCGTATGATTTTACATATATAGCCGCAGTATGCAGTGCACACATTGCATTTGTTTAAAGTAATACGGTATAGCCATAATCTGTTAGACTAAAAAAAATAATGGATTTATTTCTAAAGTGTCTACAAATGTATTTGTGTAGCAGTTCAGAGGTCGCCGCTTTTATATTTGCATTACAAATGTGTTGTGTGGCATGCGTTATGGGGAGTAAAAAACACCAGAATAAACCACATTGAGCACACTATGTATAAAAAAAACTATGTTTAATGATGCCCGAACAATTAGTATAAATAACGTTGCGTTCGAGCTACATTCTCAAACAACACAGGACTCGGGGAAAATTGAACGGTTTGCTTGGATTCTGAAAACGTTATTAGTTTTATATTCGTCTACAATATTGGTATTTTTGGTTGTTGCATTTGGCTATTTAAAAAAAATATGACCTCGCAAAAACACAATATGGATACAGCATTCTTTGGGTCTTTCGGTAAAGTCACGTAGATAGGTTCACTATTTTGTTATTTTCTTTGAACCCATCTGCGTGACTTTATCGAAAGACCCAAAGAATATGAATTCCTGCAGTCACGAAAGCTTTAAGTCATGGATACAGTATTTCAAAGAAACATTTTACCTAAAAGGCATGGCTGGGTTAAAACAATGATTTCTTTAACAAACCATTATTTAAACTTGAGCAACGTCTGCGAATGAGTAAATGAGCATGTGTCACCACACTCCACCACTCCCGTTGGTTTTGCACTAATTGCTATTTACCTCAATTGATGTACTTTATTTTATTCGTTTTGTTATCGTTTTGGTGACCCACGTCACTCTCACAAATGAGACTTTTTTTCTGGTCCCTTGAGTCCTCACCTGGTTAAACAAAATAAACTGGAAACTCGCCACTCAGGCTGCCAGAAATTAGAGAAACCAACGCAATGCAATAAATTATTAACGTCTTGCCAATTGGTTACCTATTATTTATATTTACTCTTTAACAAACAAAACATTCAAACATTATTTAAAGGTATGCCTTGACCGAACGCACCTCAAGTATACACAAACCCAGTGGCCAAGCATGCATTCGTGCACACACAGTACACATGTGTACACACATATGGCAGACACTTGACATGGTGGAAACTGGCTCGAGCCAGGCTTATTGGCACGGCTGGCTGGGCACACGTTGGTTAAAGTTTTACAAGTCAGGCGTGCCTAGGGTTTAGCTTACCGCTCATCCCCATCTTAATGTTGACGGCTGAACTTGTGCTCAGCCTCTATTAAGGGTAGATGGTTCTGGGTGGAATGCCACAGATCCTGAAACTTGACTCCCACATCCCGTTGCCAGGTCATGCTGCGTTCGGAAATGTCAGGTTAGGCTTGGGACCCAATTCAGATGGAGATGCCAAAACCTCACCAAACATACAAATGAAGCCTCTGCCATCCTCCAGCAGCACTCTCTTACGTGATGTCCACTGGCCAATGCCTTTGGGGCCTGCGTAAATACAATAATTTAATGCATTGATGCCCTCTGGCCATTGCTGTTAGGACCTGAATAAACACATGCTTTCATTTAAGGGATGGGCATGTATTCCTACTCCAAGTGCCCAAATTTTTGTATGAGAAACAGGAAGCCAAGAATTATCTGTGGCCAAATTATTGCATTTCTGGCCAAGGCTTACAAATGGCCACCAACACTTTTT